TATAAATCCACACTGATCTTTATTAATATATTAATGTAATATATAATTATTCTCTTTAAAATGTTACGTGACAACCATCTCATGGTACAGGAGGAAACCAGGACACCTGTTGTGAGTCAGCATTCTGACACCATACCTACTACTAGTAGTAGGAGGAGAAGAAGGAGTGATGCAGAAACAGAGGAGAATCAGCGCCAGCTGAAACGCATTCGTGACATCTTTCTGGCTCCCAGTGATGAAGAAGACTTTGCAGGATTCAGGCCAGAGGAGACTATGGAAGCAGATTACAGGGGAGTGAAGAGAGTGGCTAGTGATTCTGGCAGTGAGAGTGACACTATGTCTAAGAGGCTTGGAGACACAGCAGATAACTCCAGTGATAGTGAGGATGAGTTGGAGGAGGCTGTAGACTGGACTCTGGTTCAGAACATTAGAGACATTTGCAATCAAGCAACATCAAGTGATGATTTTGAAGGTTTTAGGGATAATGGGAATGAGAGTACTGATTGGCAGGATCAGGCACTAGAGCAAAGGTGGCAGGCTTGGCGTGGTGTAGATGCTTCAGCTGCGGGAGCAGAATCAGATGCAAGCAACGAATCTCATTCTTCTGATAGTGAATAAAATGAGCACTCTGGGACCTATTCCTTTGCAGACGACAAAGTGTTGTTTCGTGTTGTTCTCTGCCTAATCTTGTTTTGGATTCCCAGTATCCTGTTTTCCCTGCCGTGCCTCGGACCTTGGAACCTTCGCTCGTGAGTGTACATCTGGCTTCTTGACCCTTGGAACTGACTGACTACACGTTTGCCTACCGGATTTTGCTCCATGCCTTGCAACCCTTAAAGACTGTTTGTTTTGTATTCTGCTCCTAGTTCATCGTATCTCCTGTTATTTCTTGGCTGCAATTCAAGCCTGCTTATCTAGCATTTTGTGTTCCTGTTTGAAAACATCCTTTGAACTGTTTGCACTGACTTTTAAAGTGCCTTATTAAGTTTGTTTTGCATTAAAATAGTACTATTTTGCACCTCAACTGCTGTTTAAGACATTCTGTGTTCTGTGGGTCACGACAACACCTTTCGTGCTTCTCTAACTCCTTGGTACTGCTTTCTCTCACTGTTTTCAAAAACATGCAACCTCCTGTCATATCTCCTGTCAACATCCAGGAAGGGTGCATTGTATTGATTAGTCCATTGGCCATATAAAAAACATTTGACAAAAACACACACATACAGCATACAACCCACAGTATAACATACGTTAAAATAAACAAGCTGTTAACAAGGTCTTGATCCAGATCAAATATCTACATCACCTCTACAATTTACCCCAACCAACTCTAAATATGCAGTTCTTAGCTCGGTTGCTTTAAATAGAAAAAGGGACGGATGGGTTTAGGAAGATGTCCTCTCATGTCTATCCAAGCCATTTTTCTAATCTCTCTCTTCAATGGATATATCTGTTCTCTCCTGGAAATCAGCTTTCCTCATCATTATCACCTTTGCACAATGAGTCAGTGAGCTGTGTGCACTCCAAAATTTTAAAAACAGCTGGAAAAGTGGAATGGCAAAAGATTAACCAAGACTATTCCTACCAAATCAAAACAGTTGAAGGAAACAAGTATTGCCTAAAATTTACTCATCTGCTTTAATTCCAGGTCAGACTCCTTAAGCTTCCTCTCAGATGGTCATTATTAGAACAACCCTGGGAGACAAAAGAAGGAATATGCAGAAGCTCAATGCTTAGATGCCTAATCTGACAATCAGTTGTGATGTATAACCTTTGGAGAATCACTTTTTAAAGATCTTCCAGATTGGTTTTCAGAATGCTTTGTAAGCAAAGGAGTATCTCCAGGTTGAGATTGGGAACAACATGACTGAAGCACTGCATCCATAGACCCAAAGCTTTCCAATTCACCTGCCATTGATGGAGGCAGTAACATATACCAGTGCTGGAGCTGATGTACAACACAGCCTCCATATCAGCTGGAGATATATTCCAAGATCACCTGTGGATACCTGAAACCATGAACAAACTCTGTATTTGGACTATATTTGGATTGAAAACGTACCATATTTTCCATATAACCTATGTTTTCAGGGCAGTATACCTAACCCCCTTTTTTCTATACTTCTTTCAGGGGTCTATTCATAATTGTTTACACATCCTTAACTCATGTTCATGGCATTAGAGGGCAAAGGGGTGTCTCCAGGTTGGGATTGGGAATAGCAGCAAGGAAGCATTGCATCCGTAAACCTCAAAGCTTTCCCACTCACCTGTCATTAATGGAGGAAGTAACATATGCCAGTGCTGGAGCTGATATACAACACGTCCTCCATATCAGCTGGAGAAATGTTTCAAGATCACCTGTGGATACCTGAAACCATGAACAAACTCTACATATGGACTATACTTGGGCTGAAAACATACCATAGAATCACACCTAGAGAGGCCCAAAAAAACTTCCAGGACAGAGATATTTATTTATTTATTTATTTATTTATTTATTTACTTCATTTGTATGCCATTTGTCTCACCCGGGGAGGGGGGCTCAAAGCAGTTTCCAACATATATACGCCAAAATTAAATGCCCCACATACATAAAAACCTAACATAAAACAATAATAACATACAGCTATCAATTTAATCATAAAAACATGACATTTGAATATTAAAACATGGAGTTAAAATGCATATTAATATAAACATTAAAATAAACGTTAAAATATAAATGCCCTTCCCAGAGTGTCCCTTATTTTCACCTTTGACATCTGGGAACTTTGTGTCACATTATTGCTCCGTAAATAATTTTTCTGTTTGGAAAGAAAACATTTCATCCTTTTACTTCCTGGTAGAAATCAACCAATCACCTACATAGTATACATGTCAAAATTAATTGTGAAGACACTATTTATTCTAGGGGTGCATTTACATAGTAAACATTAATGACTTGAACTGCCATCATCAATGCTATAGAATCAAGGGGCTTTTAGTTCTACGAGGTCTATCAAAGAGTGCTGGTGCTTCGTCAAACTATAACTACCAGGATTCCATACCATTGAACTGTGGCAATTAATATGGTATCAAACTGCATTATTCCTACAGTGTAAATGAACCTTCTGATACCATCTAAAGTAAATAAGATTATAAAGCTATGCCCTGCCTATATTCTGAGTCCGACACAGAAAAAGTTTGCATATGAAATGAGAAGGAAACATTTCCACCCGGAAAACCAGGCAGAGCTTTCATTGGTCTCCTTGCTTTCTATGATAATACAAAGGAGGAACCTTGCTGGAGGTGAGAGCTATTGCTTCAGGCCAACGATCAAGGTCCAAAGGACACACTTTGGAGCATTTCATTGTAAAATTGTTGCCTGAACTTCAACCATCTTAATAGAAGACTCAGGTGGACTTTGAGACATTCCCCTACAGTCTCAGTAATAAGAGGGCACGGTATCAGTTTTTATTAGGTCCTGGATAGCTTTCAAAGAGATCATGAAGCACTGACATTGGACCAATCACAACTCAAATGATGTCATTACCTGGAGTTACCGTTGCTAAACATCACCATAGGTAGTCACACCTAAAGGAACAGGATGCAAGAAACACAGAGTTGATTCAATTTGCTTCCACCTTACTCAGTTCTGAAGATCTTGAGAAGAGGTAAGTATAAGTTCTTTGAAATCCATTTGGGACTGGTGGAGGGAAAGGCCTTGAAAGGACCTCTGTCTTTGTAGAGACATTGAGGACAGTGTTATGAGCCAAATTTTGTATCCTAAATATCTTTTATCTTTTTATTTGTATTGACTTCTAGGTTCTTGGGTGGGGGGGACAGCTCAAAGTGCCAGCTATCTTCTGTTCTGCTCCTGATCTTCCGCTTATAGGTCCAAATGCTCGGCTATTGAGAGGTCTCCCCAACCTCTTAAAAACTCTATATTTCTTCTTTTATGCCAGTCATGCCTTGCAATGTCTTAAAAGGCCTCTGAATCATAGAACTGAAATAGACCACATAGACCATTCAGTCCATCCCCTGCCATGCAGGACCATAGAATCAAAGCACCCCCAACAGAGGGCCATTCAACTTCTGCTTAAAACTTTCAGAGAAGGAGACCCACACCTCATATTCCACCACACCTCATATTCCACTCCCAAACAGCTTTTACCATCAGGAAACTCTTCCTAATGTTTAGGTGTAATCTCCTTTCCTGCAATTTGAATGTAATGTTTACAAAGCTCAGTTGGTGCTAGACTTTTGATATGTTTTAATTGCTTGAAAGACTATTTTAATTGATATGTATATGTTTTTTACAGTTTTATAATACTGTATTTTACTGATATTGTCTGAATCTGATTGCCATGGTTTGAAAGCCTCCCTGAGCCCTGCTTTGGGGATGAGAAATGGTGAGGTGAAAGTGCTAGTCAAATACATCATCAAATGCCTCCTTTTCTGTGATGTCTACAACTTAACTACAAATTCTGGAACATACATAGTATGCATCATAACTTCCATTATTTTCTGGACATTGAAATAAATATTCACATGTCAATCACACTTTGGTGGAAGCAATATGGGAGCAAGCCATTCCCTTCCCCTGCTCTAATCAGTGCAGGGAAAAGATGATGGTAATAGAGGAAAGGTTTAGAGGATATACTTATCAAGTTTGCAGATGACACCAAATTGGGAGGGATAGCTAATACTCCAGAAGACAGGAGACTAGGGGCCTTTCCAGACCCAAAACACAGGACCTGTCTCACTTTGAGGCATCCAAACGATGTTTGGAGTATATGTGATTTGGCGCACTACTGATGGAGGCCCCAAAGTTTCAGAAACACTGACCTTTTAAGCTACATCTTCAGACTGAAAGAGGTGAGATATTAGTACCCATGTCACAGTTGATTTTTAAAAATCTTATTGTTCAGGTACCAGAAGGAATTGGAACTGGAGAAAAACTTTGGTTGTCCGGAACTGACTGCAGCTAAGCCACATTTCATAACAGGATTGCAGACACTATGGGGGCAATTCGAATTGTGCCTTGTTTGCTGGCTGTATGGTTGCTGCAACTGATTCCAGCACAAGGTGATTGAGGGTAATTTGTGTGTGTGTGTGTGTGTGTGTGTCTGTGTGTGTCAAGAGCAATTTAGAAATTGCAGGTCACTTCTGGTGTGAGAGAATTGGCCGTCTGCAAAGACATTGCTCAGGGGACATCCAGATGTTTTGATGTTTCTGCCATCATTGTGGGAGGCTTCTCTCATGTGCCTGCATGGGGAGTTGGAGCTGACAGAGGGAGCTTATCCACATTCTCTCTGGATTCAAACCTCTGACCTGTCGGTCTTCAGTCCTGCCGGCACAAGGGTTTAACTCAGTTGCGCCGGAGGGGCTCCATTGAGAGTAATGGGAAATGCTCACAGGACCTCACTACCTCTGAGGATGCTTGCCATAGATGCAGGCGAAATGTCAGGAGATAAAACCTCTAGACCATGGCCATATAGCCCAAAAAAACCTATAACAACCCAGCTCACAGGGTAGTCTAAGAATTCTTTTCTGAAATGAAATAGGAGGAGAGACTCCCAGAAGTCACATAATTTCTGGAGCAGCTGGTGGTCCATAGCATAAGACATACTTTCCCCTTTTTATTGATGGTTCAGAAATGTAAACTATACACAAAAAGTAATGCAGTTATATAATCTTGAGAATGTACATTAGATCTATGCTGTAGTACTACAACATTCAATGTACTAACAGCTTGTGCAAAGTATACAATACACAATGTATTCTCTTAAGTATACTTTATACAAGGTATTAGTACATATAATGTTGTAGTACTGCAGCATAGATCTGATGTATTTTCTCATGATTATATAACTGCAATTTTTTTGTATATAGTGGCCTTTTGCCCTTGTACTTCGGGGAATCCTTTCTCTCTATTCAGAAATGTAAACAACAGGAATCCACATGAGACTTTTTTATTCTAATGCTCAGAATCGTCTGAGTAAAAAAGTATTGCTTAGTCTCATCACAAAGACCAGGCTCTCTCAATGGTCGAGCAAAAGCACACTGCATGCCACGGAGAGGCAGTCACTTTTGCCCAAACCACAGAAACCCCTTTGTTTTTCCAACTAAATTAATTTATTGTATTTTTCCATTTCATTCAAATTACACAACTATAGTTACTGCCTTTGAAAAAAGCCAGGATACTGAACCAATGTTAACTCATGGCGCAATATCTCGGCTAACCATAATTTTCCAGTTTAAGTGAAATGGAACACTGTGGCCCCATCTACACTGCCATATAATGCAGTTTCAGAATGCAGATTAAGCACATTGAACTGTATTATATAGCAGTGTATACTCATATAATCCAATTCTATGCAGTTCAATCTGCATTATGAGTCTATATTGACCATTATAATGCAGTTCAAATTGCATTACATGGCAGTGTAGACAGGATCCATAGATTTCTCAGATGATTAAGTCAAGTTATGGTACATTATATATGTTTTCTACAATCTAAATCCTATTTACCCAAAATATCTTCTCTTTTTATATATATTCCCAGGTGCTGCAAACTCATCAGTAGGTAAGTGATCTGCCTTTTTGAATACATTTATGCATTAAATTTGGAGGTCAGAATTCAAAATAATCCCATCCTTTAAAGAAAAACAAGATTCCCTTAATTCACCACTTCTTTATGCACCTTTAGAGATGAATATTACAAATATTTCTAACATATTGTAAGTAAATAACTGAGCTGCATCCAACATGTGATTCTAGATGTGGCTATCAGTCAAAAGCAGAAAAAAAGAGAAACGGGAAATAAAAAAATAAAGATTTTCCCATTGCCTGCTCTCTCAAAAGTTGCAATTATGTGTATACCTCAGCTGGCAAACTGTATATTTACTTCCTTAAAAATTGGTACAAGATGAAGAAATAACATGAAAAAACATGGATAGATTTCTAATGCACAAAAAGGAACATGTCAATATGTTTTAGCCCTACGAGGATGGCCCACAACACCTCTTCCAACTTTATTTTTGTATTTGTTTATTTACTCTAGTTCTATTCCACTCTTCTTACCCCAAGGGGGCCTCAGAGCGGCTTACAGATATGGCAAAATTTAATGCCACATACTCAACATTATACAATACAATACTTTATAAAAACAATAAATCAGATAATAATGGTAATAATAACAACTTTATTTGTATAGCGCCCTATCTCTGCAAGGGGACTCAGGGTGGTTTCCAACATATTCGATTGCCAGGAAGGAAAACCATACAGACAAATTAAAATAAACATCATAAAGCATAAAATCCTACTAAAACATACATAAAAAATGCTTAAAAACCAGTTTCATTATAGCTCCATCAGACGGGTTCAAAATACCAATGGACAGGATTATAAAATAGACATGGTAACTATAAAAGGACTGGGCAAGGGCATGGTAACTATAAAAGGATTGGCCACAGTGTATCATAGGGCTGGGGAAGTCAATAAAGTGCAGAACAGAAAGGGAAAGGTGTAGGGACTAATCATGGTTGAAAACCAGCTGGAACATCCAGATAAAAACATATGAATACCATAAAACCATTAAAACATGATACCTAGTCCTGCAGTCGTCATTTGTGTTGCTACATTATGCTGAATCTGTATTGCACTACTCAAACATCTGATTACATAGCCAAGTTTTCACCTTTTTTTTTCTAAAATCCAGGAGGGAGGGGGCCAGTCTGATCTCCCTGGGAAGGGTGTTCCATAGCTGCGGGACAACCACTTAGAAGGCCCTGTCTCTCGTCCCCACCAATCGCACCTGTGAAAGGGATGGGATTGAGAGCAGGGCCTCTCCAGAAGATCACAACTCTCTAGCATATTCATAGGGATACATTCAGACAAATATGGCTTTATAGGCTAAAGCCAGCACTTTGAATTGTGCTCAGTAGCAGACTGGCAGCCAGCGGAGCTGATACAACAGGAAGGTTGTATGCTCTCTATATGTCGCTATGGTGAGTAACCTGGCAGCTGCCCATTGGACTACTTGGAGCTTCCGAACAGTCTTAGAAGGCAAGCCCACATGTTTTATTATTTTATTTCACATACTTGTACCCCACCCTTCTCACCCCTGACGGGGGATTCAGGGCAGCCTCACAGCAAACACCATTCGGTGCCATTATAATGATTAGCAATCAACAAATTCATTAAAACAAAACATTAAATAAACAGTTGTTAAAACACGCCAGTTAAAACCTGGGTCCGGGTCAATTCATTGTCACTTTGAAATTGATTATGTCTTCTTCATCCAAGCCACTATTCAATGGTCAAACGCAAGGTCCCACAGCCAAATCTTGAGTTTCCTTTTAAAGGACAGGAGGGAAGCGGCTAATCTGATGTCTGGAAAGGGAATTCCACAGATGGAGCCACTGTTCAGAAGGCCCTGTCTCTTGTCTCCACCAATCGCATTTGCAACGACGGTGGGATTGAGAGCAGGTAGAGTGTGTTGTAATAGTCCAGTCAAGATGTAACAAGAGTGTGGACTACCGTGGCCAAGTCTGACTTCCCAAGGTTCGGGCACATTTGGCACACAAGTTGTAATTGTGCAAAAGCACCCCAGGCCGCCAAAACCTGGGGTTCCAGGCTCAGTGATGAGTCCAAGAGAACTCCCAAGCTGCAAACCCGTGTCTTCGGGGGAGTGTAACTCCGTCCAGCACAGGCTGTAACCCTAAACTCTGTTCAGCCTTTCAACTGACCAGGAATACCTCTGTCTTGTCTGGATTCATCCAGATTGTCACAACTGCCAGGCACCAGTTCAGAACCTCAACAGCCTCCTTAGCAGCAGGTGGAAAGGACTGATAGAGTTGGACATCATCTGCAGATGATTTCAAACTCCGAAACTCTGGATGATCTCCCTGATCAAATGTTGAACAACATGGGGAACAGTATTGAACCCTGTGGGACCCCACAGGACAAAGACTCTGGAGCCGAGCAGGTGTCCCCCAACAAGAGATCCAACAGGGACACAGTTCCCCTGTCAAGTTCCCTACGTACATCATCCACTAAGGAAACCAAGGCTGTTTGAGTTCCGTGTCCCGGCCTGAAGTCAGACTGTGATGGATCCAGTTTCTTCCTAGAACACCTGGAGTTGTGAGATGACCTCCAAGGGGGAGATTGGAAACTGGCTGAAAGTTGTTCAGTTGGCTGGGGTCCAGTTATGGCTTTTTCAACAGCGGTTTGATCACAGCCTCCTTTAGGCCCACCGGAATCTTGCCTTCTAGTAAGGAGGCATTAACCACCACCTTCACCCACTCTGTCAAACCCCCACTGGCCTCCTTTATCAGCCAGGATGGACAAGGGTCTAGGACAGGGGTGTGAAGGAGGGTAAAATTACTGCCACCAAATTTGTGAGGCCTGTAATTCTCAGCATCAACTTAGGAGCTGGTTTATAAAGGGACTATTAGTTACAGAAGTATTTAGTTATTTGATAGCGTAGCGTTTAATGTCCCTGGTTTGGTTTTTCTACTTATGCAGGCTGTTTGACTTAGGAGAAACTGTATCAGGCAAGACGTGAGGAGAACAGTAACAATTTTATTGGAACAAGCAAGGTATAACAGATTCGATTGTTTCTTCACAAGAGGCACAAATCTTGATAGGTTACATTAGTAAGGTTTCATGAGTAACTTTAGGTACAGACTTTAAGAGGTTTCTATAAGCAGATGTAACTTTCCTGGACAACTGTCCTAATAAAAACAAATAAACTAAAAGGCTTATTTAACAGAATTGGCTCCCAGCCAAACCCTGATTCTTAATATTAAAGAACCAGTCTTCCCTATAGTTCTCTAACTATAGTATTCCTGATGGTTTTCCACACACCACAGGATCAACTACCTTCTCCTGTAACTCTTTGGTCACAGACTAGTTCCCTGTTTCTCCCACTAGAGAAATCAGTCTTCCCTGTAACTCTACCGGTCACAGACTGCCACTTTCAAACAGCTGCCCCATGAAGTGACAGTTGGCTCCGCCCCCGTTGCTATGGCAACTCTGCTCAAGCCAAACCAGCCACTATCTCTAACAAAATATAATCCTACATACTTGCCATTTATTAACTACTGTTTAAACAACACATAACCATAGAAATAAAATTACACATAGTCACAAGGGGTCCTCAAACTTTTTAAACAGAGGGCCAGATCACAGTCCCTTAAACTGTTCGAGGGCCAAATTATAATTTGAAAAAAGCATGAATGAATTCCTATGCACACTGCACATATCTTATTTGTAGTGCAAAAAAACACTTAAAACAATACAATAATTTACATGAAGAACAATTTTAACGAATATAAACTTATTAGTATTTCATTGGGAAGTGTGGGCCTGCTTTGGGCTGATGAGATAGGATTGTTGTTGTTGCTGTGTGCTTTCAAGTAATTTCAGACTTAGGTTGATCCTTAGTGAGGGCTGGGGAAATGACCTTGGAGGGCCGTATCCGACCCCCGGACCTTAGTTTGAGGACCCCTGGTCTAGGATGCATTTGGTTACTCTCACCTCTCCAAGGTTTTGTCCATGTTCTCAGGTTGCACCAATTGAAATGAATCCATTAAAACTGGACAAGCAGGTGCTCATGTTACATCTTTAGAGTCTATTGTTAAAGCGGTGTCCAAGTCAGAATGGATCAGAGCAACTTTATTCGCAAGATCCAAGCAAATGCTTCACAGCAAGCTGCCGAATGGTCAGAGGTCCCGTTGTGCAGGATGGTTCGAAACAGCTCAGCTAACAGTTCCTTAAGGATGGAATGTTGGCCACAATGAGAGATTTCTTTGCGGCCACTTTTATCCTTTGTTTTTATTTCAATTGGTGAGAACTGAGCTCAAAGTTTTAAAAAATAGTTTGTATTCAATTAACTCGGCACAGAATTAGAGGATGAAAGTTTGTGTGTTATCCTTCATTAATAGAATCATAGAGTTGGAAGAGACCTCATTGGCCATCCAGTCCAACCCCCTGCCAAGAAGCAGGAAAATTGCATTCAAAGCACCCCAACAGATGGCCATCCAACCTATGTTTAAGAGCTTCCAAAGAAGGAGCCACTACCACACTCCGGGGCAGAGAGTTCCCCTGCTGAACAGCTCTCACAGTCAGGAAGTTCTTCCTAATGTTCAGATGGAATCTCCTTTCTTGTAGTTTGAAGCCATTGTTCCATGTCCTAGTCTCCAGGGAAGCAGGAAACAAGCTTGCTCCCTCCTCCCTATGACTTCCTCTCACATATTTATACATGGCTATCATGTCTCCTCTCAGCCTTCTCTTCTTCAGGCTAAACATGCTCCACATAGGGCTTGTTCTCCAGACCCTTGATCATTTTAGTTGCCCTCCTCTGGACACATTCCAGCTTGTCAATATCTCTCTTCAAGTGTGGTGCCCAGAATTGGACACAATATTCCAGGTGTGATCTAACCAACGGAGAATAGAGAGGTAGCATGATATAATAATAGGTGGGGGCTTTATTTGGGAGAATAAAATCCCTTAAAAAGGCTGAACACCACTTGTGATTAGAATGTGGCTTATGTGTTTTAAAAGCCCCAAAACAAAAAGCTGTAAGGAAAGCTGAAACGTTCTTCTGGCCAAAAAAACCTTTTGAAAACCCCTCTGGCCACCACCCAACTTAAAAGCACTGATAAGCCCTTTGCTTACTGAGTATCTTAGACCAGAGCGTACTGAGTATCTTAGGCCAGAGTGTGTTGGACTAGCCCCCAGGCTGGTGTTCTGAGGTAACACTAAAAGAATGCCACAATAGACTCTTGTTTGCTTCAGGAAACTGCTTTTAAAACTTCACCCACAGAGGCACACGTGAGGCAGATGTTGTGAACAACAAAACAATTATGTTTATTTAAGAGACCTGAAAAAATTGAGGTATAAAGTTTATCTGTTTCAGAGTATTGACTTAAAAAGTGTGTGGTTACAGTAAGCAGTTCAGACTTAGTTACACAGGAACACTTCTCTCTCCCTCCACAGAATGTACTAACAGGATTGCCTCTCTGAAAGTAATTCTAAACACAGTACAGATAGTCCTATCCTGGATCTATCTCTTCACTCCTCCACCAGCGATCTCCCTAATAACTGTAGAAATCTTTTCACTAGCTATCTCTGCTAGCCAACAGACCAATTTCAGGCCTCTTTCACTAACCTTTCACCACTCCTAACTCCCAGCTCCTTTTTCTTTGACTCCCCCAGTCAAGACTGCCTGACAGGGTTTTTAAACATCCCTTAAAGTCAAATTTTTTCTTTTGCCAAGTTAGGTTCCGCCCACTCTAACTCAGCCAATTACAGTCTTCCCTCATTTCCCTCCAAAGCTGCTCTTTCTAAACATGGCCCCTTCAGGAAATGAGTTACTAAAATGGATTCCACCGGCACATTTTCCAAAATGGCTGCCGAACTTCTTGGGCCTACTTTTCTAAGCTTTTCCTAGCCTAACAGATAGGGAATTCACTACACATGACTTCCCTGGATCTAGACACTAGACTCCTATTGATGCAGGTCAAAATCCCATGCATTCCCCATTCTGTATCTTTGCATTACATTTCATAACTTTTTGGCATTCTGAAAACATTCTGATACTGCTTGACCACATGTGTCCCAGTTTTCATCTGTGAAATATTAGAAAATAAACAACTGTCCTGTTTCTTCTTCCTCTACAGTTTGCGGCCAACCAGTGATCTCCGGACGGATTGTTGGGGGCCAAGCAGCCACAAAAGGGGCATGGCCTTGGCAAGTCAGCGTTTTACGTTCTACCTATTTTATATGTGGAGGCTCTCTCATAGACAAGGAATGGGTGTTGTCAGCAGCTCACTGCTTCTACAAGTAGGTATTTAGCCAATGCTACCATCTAGCGATTTATAAAGATTTGCTCCAGATTCATTTCAGAGATGTGGTTCAAGTTCTGTGTCTACCAGCCAGACTAAGCAATGCAAGAATTCACAGGAGAGAGGAATCTGATGACAAATGAGTGAAGGGAACTTCTGGTTTGAAGACAAGAACCTGGCTAGCAAATTTGCAGTATATACCATTTCTACCATATATCATGCAAACTTACCATATATACTTGAGTATAAGCCGAGTTTTTCAGCCCCTTATTTAGGCTAAAATGGTCCCCCTTGGCTTATACTCAAGTCAAAGTTATTATTTTATTCTGTTAGTATTATTATTACATTTATTATTTTACTCTATTATTAATAATATATTTGCATTATTTTACTCTATTATTATTTCTATTACATTTATTTTTTACTATATTATTATATTTATTATATATATATATATATATATATATATATATATATATATATATATTATAAAAGGTAAAGGTTGTCTCCTGACATTAAGTCCAGTCATGTCTAACTCTGGGGTGTGGTGATCATCTCCATTTCTAAGCCGAAGAGCCGGCGTTGTCCATGGACACCTCCAAGGTCATGTGGCCAGCATGACCGCATGGAGCACCGTTACCTTCCCGTCGGAGCGGCACATTTGCATGTTTTCGAACTGCTAGGTTGGCAGAAGCTAGGGCTGACAGCGGAAGCTCACACCACTCCGGAATCAAATCTGCGACCTTTCGGTCAACAAGCTCAGCAGCTCAGCACTTTAACCCACTTCGCCACCAGGGGCTCCATTTATTATATTACTCTATTACTCCATTTATTATATTATTCATTTATTAATTACATTTATTATTTTACTCTTTTCTTATTGTTATTATTACATTTACATTATTTTATTCTATTCTTATTTTATTACATTTATTATTTTACTCTATGTATTATTATTACATTTATTATTTTACTCTATTATTACTCTCATTATTACATTTTTATTATTTTACTCTATTATTATTATATTACATTTATTATTTCACTCTATTATTGGAAAGATAAGTAAGCACGTTTACACTGAAGAAGGTTAGAATAATGGTATAATCAGAATTGGACAGTCTTATCCTAAATTACAGTTTTATGTAAATATTCAAAAATATTCAACATATTTAACCTACTGATGCCTCAATTAATGTAATTTTATTGGTATCTATTTTTATTTTGAAATTTAGCAGTAGCTGCTGCATTTCCCACCCTCGGCTTATACTCGAGTCAATACATTTTCCCAGGTTTTTGTGGTAAAATTAGGTGCCTCGACTTATATTCGGGTCATCTTAAACTAGAGTATATATGTAAGCACACAGAAGGCACTAGGCACGCTATCTAGCTATGAGATCACTATATCATAGGAAGTAGTATGCAGATTTGGAGACACAAACTAAGACCCCTTCTACACTGCCATATAAACTCATATAATTCTGTTCAAAGAAGATAGTGTTGATTATCTGCTTTGATAACCTGAATTATATGGCAGTGTAGGGGAGGCCTAAGGTCAATATGACTTTCCAGGCAATCTGCCTTCTCCTCAATGGCAACAAGCTAGCCTGTTGCTATCAGATGTGAATGAAAGCGTTATTGATCAGCAGTTGTTGTTCTTCTGTGCCTTGAAGTCATTTCTGACTTATGGCAAACCTAAAGGGAAATTCCTGACGAGATTTCTTCAGAAGGTGGTTTACTATTACTGTCCTCTAAAACTCAAAGAGTGTGACTCACTCAAGAGGATTTTCACAGAGTGGTGAACCCTGCTCTCCAGAGTCATAGTCCAAATCTCAAACCACTGCACTGTGTTGAGTTGCCTGATCAGCAATAGAGAAGACAAATTATTCTCCTGATACAATTGACCTGTGTCGATGTAAACATATGGATTTCCATCTTGTTCTCAATCTCAAGCAGCAAAATATCTTGAGCTGATCCTAATAGGTCTGCAATAGAAAACCAAGAAAATGAAGGATAGTTTTTCAAACTGATTTGCTAGGCCCAAGTCAACAACTTGATAAAACAAGGTGGAATGATGATTGGTTTCTCTTTTGAGATGACAGCCAAAGGACATACTTGTTTCATGTGGAATGCGAGTGGAAAATCCATATTCCAGTTTGGTAAATATAAGTTATAACATTTGAATTTTGCTGCAGTTTGCAACCTTGCACAAAAGCAACAATAGGTAACTATAACAGAGGAGGAGTCAAGAGATAGTGTGCTCTTCAAAAAGTTGGACATTGTCAGTTCATCCAGATCACCTGAATGTGTGGAACAAGGATAGGGAAGGAAAAATATTTGAAAATCTATCAAAATATGTCCTGGGTGTTGGGGAATTCTGATGAAGAGAATCCTTGTATAATTGGGTTATTCACAGTTCAGGACTTATTTTCCATATAAGAATACAATTAACAAAGAATTACATCCCTAACCAAGGGGAAGGACTGTGAATTTGGGAGAGAGGTTTGTTGATGCCCTTTCTACCACCCACCCCAAAATAGAGGGGAAGAAATGATTTACAGAATATGAGTTTGACTCATAATGCTGCTTTAGACAGAGTAATTTTAAAAGGATGGAGGGTAACCACAACATAATCACCAAACCATTCCCTCTGGAATTACTGGAAATGTCCTTATGTTAAAAGTGAGATCTGTATGGTCATTCTGTCCCGAGGCCACCCAAACCTGTTGCCTCATATACAGTGAAGAACCTTATTTTTTCACCAGCATTTAAGTAAGATCTCATGGCTTGAATATGAGATGTGTTGCAATAGCAGATTCCCAGATTAGTTTAGTGTTTACACCTTATTTCATTTTTCAGGTTATTTAATATTTAATGTTTATTTTACTTAGGTAATATTTGTCTTTACTGTTCTAATGTAGCACAAATCCTATGTAAAATCATACTATGTATTTTTGACATTAATATTGAAATCTGAAATATATATAGAAAATCTTTACATATACAGAAAGTGCCATCTGGTACTTCACCTCAGGCAACAGAACATATACAGTAGTTTGCAGTACAGTGATTCTATTCTGAGCTTTGCAAAGTGAAAGAAATACAAAATTGTTAACTACTGGGAATTTTTTATTGTTCTCTCTAGTAAGTACACTTTTATAGTAGTTTGTTTCTCCAATAAAAAACTAAAAAAGTATTTTATGCTATGCTATGCTTTTTTATAACAGGGTGGCATGATTTATAGAGGTTTGGGCTAAATTCAAACTTCCCCTACAAAAATGATTAACAGACACTATTGTACTTTTTTGTTGTTTATTCGTTCAGTCGCTTCCGTCTCTTTGTGACCTTGTGAACCAGCCCACGCCAGAGCTCCCTGTCAGCTGTGGCTACCCCCAGCTCCCTCAAAGACAAGCCAGTCACTCCAAGGATACCATCCAACCATCTTGCTCTTGATCGGCCCCTCTTCCTTTTTCTTTCCATTTCCCCAGCTTCATTATCTTCTCCAAGCTTTCCTGTCTTCTCATTATGTGGCCAAAGTACTTCATCTTTGCCTCAAATATCCTTCCCTCCAGTAAGCAGCCAGGCTTTATTTCCTGGAGTATGGGCTGGTTTGATCTTTCAACAGTCCAAGGTGCTCTCAGAATTTTCCTCCAGCATCACAGTTCAAAAGTGTCTATCTTCCTTCGCTCCACCTTCCTTATGGTCCAGCTCTCACATCCATGGGTTACTACGGGGAATACCATTACTTTGACTATGTGGACCTTTGTTGGCAATGTGATGTCACTACACTTCACTATTTTATCAAGATTGCTCTCCTCCCAAGAAGTAAACGTCTTCTGATTTCCTGGCTGCAGTCTGCATCTGCAGTAATCTTTGCACCTAAAAATACAAAGTCTGTCACTGCCTCCATGTTTTCTCCCTCTATTTGCCAGTTATCAATCAATCTGGTTGCCATAATCTTGAGGGTTTTTTATGTTTAACTGCAACCAGTTTTTGCACTTTCTCTTTTACCTTGGTTTGAAGGCTCCTCAGCTCTTACTCACTTTCAGCCATCAAAATGGTATATCTGCATATCTAAGGTTGCTAATGTTTGTCCAGCAATTTTAACTCCATCCTTGCATTCATCAAGCACCGCACATCACATGATGTGTTCTGCATACAAGTTGAATAGGTAGGGTGAGAGTATTCAGAGGTACTCCTGGTCAGTCGCAAGGCCGAACAGGGTATAGGGTTACAGCCTGTGCTGGATGGGGTCGCACTCCCCTTGAAGGCGCAGGTTCGCAGCTTGGGTGTGATTCTGGATTCATCGCTGAGCCTGGAGCCCCAGGTCTCGGCGGTGACCAGGGGAGCATTTGCACAGCTTAGGCTCGTGCGCCAGCTGCGCCCGTATCTTGGGAAGTCTGACTTGGCCATGGTAGTCCACGCTCTGGTTACATCCCGTTTAGACTACTGCAACGCTCTCTACGTGGGGTTGCCTTTGAAGACGGCCCGGAAGCTCCAACTGGTCCAACGTGCGGCAGCCATGATACTAACAGGAGCGGGACGCAGGGAGCATACAACTCCCCTGCTGTACCAGCTCCACTGGCTGCCGATCTGCTACCGGGCTCAATTCAAGGTGCTGGCATTGGCCTATAAAGCCCTAAACGGTTCCGGCCCAAGATACCTAACTGACCGCCTCTCGGCCTATGAGCCTACGAGGACTTTGAGATCTTCCGGGGAGGCCCTGCTCTCGATCCCGCCTGCGTCACAGGCACGGCTGGCGGGGACGAGAGATAGGGCCTTCTCGGTGGTGGCTCCTCGGCTGTGGAACACCCTTCCCGTGGACATCAGGCTAGCCCCCTCCCTGTTGATATTCCGCAGGAAGTTAAAGACCTGGCTATTTAAGAAGGCATTTGATCAAGAAGTGCAATGACTGGTAATTGACCATAGGAATGGAACAACGGAAATGATATCGGATTGTGGCTTGACGATGAGACGATTCGGAATGTAGTAAATTTTGTAGTATTGTTGATGTTGATAAGATGTTTTGATAATGACGATTTGGATATCTTGCACTATGTTTTGTAATTTGCACCTGTTTTTATGTTGTACACCGCAATGAGTCGCCCTTGGGCTGAGAATTGCGGTATATAAGAGCAGTAAATAAATAAATAAGTACTTCTTTCACAATCTTGAACCAGTAGGTTGTTCCGTGGTCTGTTCTGACTGTTGCTATTTGGTCGTTATACAGATTCCTCAGGAGACAGACAAGATGGTTTGGTATTCCCATATCTCCAAGAACTTGCCACAATTTATTATGATCCACACAATCAAAGGCTTTAAAATAGTCAATAAAACAGAAATAGATGTTTTTCTGATACTCCCTGCCTTTCTCCATTATCCAGCAAATATTGGCAATGTGGTCTCTCGTTCCTCTGCCTTTTCTAAACCCAGCTTGTACATCTGGCAACTCTCACTCCATTTATTGCTGGAGTCTTCTTTGCAGGATCTTGAGCATTATCTTACTGGCATGTGAAATAAGTGTCACTGTAGAAAAGTTTGAGTATTCTTTAGCATTTCCCTTTCTTGATATGGGGATACAAGTTGATTTTTCCAATCTGATGACCATTCTTGTGTTTTCCATATTTGCTGGCATATGGCGTGCATCACCTTGACAGCATCATCTTTCAAGATTTTAAACAGTTCAGCTGGGATCCCATCATCTCCTGCTGCTTTGTTATCAGCAATGCTTCTAAAGGCACATTCAACCTCAATCCTCTATTATACTTTAGATATACCATATACCATAAAACAACATGACTCACCAGAAAAGACGAAAAGCAATAAGAATGGGAAGGGGGGCTCCAGGTTGATGGACTCCCTCAAGACAGTCATATCCCCAAGTCTGCAAGAGCTGAAATGGGCTGTTATAAGCGCATGTCCTGAAGATCTTTCAATCAGTTATAAATGCCCAGTCTGTAGGTTGCCAAATAGTACTCTGTTCTCTGCATATGTGCCTTCCTATCATTTTCCACTAATAAGAACAATTTATGTACAAGCCATCACAGCTAATGGGAGCTACACAGTTCCACATCTCAACAACTACTCGATTCCCACTCCTAGCCTAGTGTAGTTGAGTGATAAGATTATTTGACTTTATCTGATCATAGCTCTCTGGTATCCCAAGTATTCTGGCCATCAGCAGCACAACAGGTGAAATTTTACAGGTCTCAAAGAAACATCAAACTTAGCACTGCAAGTTCTTGCATTTTTCTCTTATATTCATAGAGCCACAAACCCTGATGAATATCTCCTGTTATTTGGAGCCTATGAACTCTTAAACCTCTCAAATGATGTGGGAGTCAGACGTGTGAAAAGGATAATCCTCCATAATGACTACAATGGTGACGATGACTCCAGCGGGGATGTCGCTTTACTTCAACTCTCGTCCCCTGTGGATTTCACCAACAACATCCTCCCTGCTTGTCTGCCAGAGTCATCTGCAGAATTCTATGCAAACACCAATTGCTGGGTAACAGGATGGGGAAATACACAACATGATGGTGAGAAATGTTCTTTGCCATGCCTACTCAGCCTTTGCTGACTCTCATGACAAACATTTCACTTTACAGGTGAGAGAGACAATTCAGCTCCTTTCCCTAGGAACTGTAAGGAAGTGGAAGAAGCTTGGGGTCTGCAGCTTACTAAAGCTGCCAGAGTAGCTTAAAACCAATATCCCAGGAAACTGTAGAAAGAATGAGGGATTCATATTAAGATTTTTGCACAGTCCATGTGGGGAAGTGTGGCAGCAGCAAGTGCTCAAGGAGATCTTGTGAAGTAGCATTCAAAGACACTGAACTTGTCACCTCATCACCATATACACAGGTTTTGCATTTCAATAACTATTCACATGTGGAGTTCCTAGGCACTTCGCTCCATCCATCTGAGAAAGTAGACATTGATCACTTAGATCCGTGTAGATGAAGCTCAGCTCTACAACAATCACACACTGTACTGAATAGTAACACGGGGCAAAGTTACTTTAACATAGCATTTCCCCACATTACCCAAAGTCAGGGAAAGTCTGAATTCTGCCCCAACTTATGCCCAGTGGGGATTGTTGAACTGCTTCCCAAAGGGAAGCAATCACAATTGTTTCAACAGCCATCCTGCATTCCTTGGACTCAGGCAGCCTGGGGACATGGGATGGCAGGCCCTACCCAACCCTAGCTCCATATTGTGGTGGTCCCTAGCTGTGATACAGGTCTCGTCCATTCTCTATCAGTTGCTGTGATGTCAGTAAGGTCAATGGGGAGCACTACGATGGGAAGGGGAGAGGAGAGATGAATTCATGCTCCCCCAATCACCTCTCTCCCTCCTTTGGCTCCGCATCACTCTGACTGGCATCAGGGTACGTGTCAGGAGGCTGAGGGGTTGCCTCCCAAAACTCTCTCCCCACTCCATGACAGCTGGGGATTACAAAGTCCAGGGCCTGTCTGACATCCAGCACACTGTATTGGCCCCAGGTTTGGAGTCACTGTAGATCTGCTCTTAGTCCACCAAAGCTTATGCTACCAGCTCATTCTCTCAGTCTCTAAAGTGCTGCACATATGAAGTAGTGTTGGCAGTGGGCACTCACCCCCATTTAAGAGATGGGGGGAAGCAACTGCAACATTCTCTTCTTTTGCCCATCAGGCGTTCAGGCAATGCACTTTGCCAAAATGCCTCACGCCAGTTGCATTCACTATGTCGAGAAAAGGAGGCCCATCTTCTCTCTTCTCCTGCATCTGGTTCTCAACTCTCTGGCTGCATGAAACAATTGAAGGAAATTTGGGGTGGGGAGGTAGTAGGCAGTGGCAGATGGGAGTGGGGACAAGAGTGAGGCTGGAGAGCACTGGTTTTTCTACAGATTGCTTTCTTACTAATAATATGGATGTCCTCCCTCTATATATCAAAGGTCTCCTGTCATTATGCTCTGTTTCTTCTCTCCTCCAGTGCCATTAAACAGCCCAATGACCCTCCAGGAAGTGAACCTGCCTCTCATCAAACGAGAAACCTGCAACAGTTATTATAATAAGCGTCCAGTCCAAGGTCTGAGCTCAAATCCTGTGAAGGCTGATATGTTCTGTGCGGGTTATGAAATGGGTGGAAAAGATTCTTGCCAGGTAAAGAGCTCCATCACCTGTTCTTCAGTGAGCCATTGTCTGTCATTGGATATCCTGCCCTATATCCAAAAGATATCAGGACACCTACAATAATACAATAAATAATAGCAATCTTTCAAAAAGGTTAAAAATATATCTAATCATTGAGCAATTAAAAACAGGTTATAAAATGGTTATAACAAATGTTAAGTAACACTATGTAACAATATTTGAAAAATATTATTATTTCCTGTTTAGTTCTGCAGTACTTACTTTGAAAGTAGTCCTTATGCTCCAGAAACTTCATTTTTGTGACTGCCACAATCTATGTTGAATTGGTTGAGACTCTTAGGACCTTATCACATATACACCCCCATCAACTCCATCATCACACACATTACTCCGGCGCAGTGATGCTTCTCCCATTGTACAGGGGAAGCATTGCCCAACCAGGGCAGAAATGCGCTGGCTTCAATAGGGCCAGCACATGGGAGCCTTTCTGTGTTGACAAGAAAATACCCTAGGATGCTTCCACACCGGTTGGGGGCAAGGTCTCCACCAGAAGTTGAGGGAGGTCATGTGATTGGTAAGTGTGATGAAGTCCTATGAGATATTCATTTTTTTAAAAAAAACTATAGCAAAATGTGCTGCAGGATGTCCTATAGAAACAAAGCTTTTTGCAGCTCAATAAACTTTTGCCATGTTTTTATGATAGAACCAATAAAGGAACAAAAACTGTATTGCATGGTGTAATGCAACCATGTGACGTTTACCTTTGGCACAAAAATGAGCTCAAGATTGCCACCAATTGAATCTCTGCAAGAAAGAAATTCCACAACTGTGGTGCCACCACAGAGGAGTCCCTTTCAACAAAGTATTTCCTCTACTGGTAAAACACAATGAGGAAAAATTCTGCTGAAATGCTTACATATGGAATTTTTGTGTGTGCCATATATACAGGGTGGCCAAGAAATGTTTGAGAGACACATTGATTTTTTTTTCTTTTGTACCATGTATACTCATGAATAGATTGACCTCATGAGTAAGTCAAGGGTAGGTGGGGGGGGGGGGGCAAAGTATAAAGTTTGATATGACCCATGGATAAGTTGAGGATAATTCTACAGAAAGGGGAAAGCCTCAGTGCTACTCAAGGGTCTAACTACCCCTGGTTTTCTGTTCCATTTTCCTGCCCAGGCATCCAAAAAGCCAGCAGTGGCACCACGGAAGGGGAAGTTGAGGGGGTCAGTGCTTCTTTTCGGTTCTCCCAAAATGGGCTTAGTTCTTGCATTTCAGTGTTCTACTCAGAAAATAATATGGTTCCATTTGTGATTAGAGTTAAGATAAAATATTTACACTGACTTGTAGATGAGTCAATCCAGTTTTGTGGGTCAATTTTGGACTGAACTTTCTAGGCTTATACGGGAGTATACACAATTATCTTTCTGATTGCCTAAACTGCAGGCTCCTTAGATTCCTGTGATTCTATTAAAGCCCAGGGAAAGATATCATGGTGACATAACTCAAGGATGGGGAACACATTTTCAGCTTAAAGACCAAGTTTGCACTCAGAAAGCTTTTCAGGGCTTCCTTCAACTGCATTATGAGGGAGAGCGAAAGCAAAATGAGTGAACTATTTCTTACCAATTTCACTCTGTCTAGTACCCGAATACCTTATGAGCACAAAATCATGTCTGGTCTCAGTAGTTAAGCAGAGTCTACCCTAGATTGTGCTTGGATAGGAGAGACTGCCAATGAATTTTAGGAGTGTAATGCAACTGAAAGTGACCATTGGATACTTCCTGTTCACTTCCTATTCCAGAAAAAGATGTCTCATAGGTTTAAAATGGCCCCAGAAAGGGGGAAAAACATAGAGAAAGCTCTCCAGTTTGGTGGTTTTAGGGGAAAATGATCCCTAGCCACACACAAAAATGGATCTTAGGGCATATGTGGCCACACTTCACCTACTCCAATGGATGCCATTGTTTGTATTGAGGGTGTGGCTGAACGGAGTAAGCTTGGTCTATACCCTCACCTACCCAGCATTCCAAATGTGATCTTCAGATTCTTTGCAACTGACATGTCTCACCAACCATCATTTCCCTCCACAGGGTGACTCTGGAGGACCTTTGGTTTGCAAAGTACAAGAAAGCTGGTTCCAGGCTGGAATTGTGAGTTGGGGCGTAGGTTGTGCCCAGCCCAACTACCCCGGTGTCTACGCATCAGTGCCTTACTATTCCACGTGGATCAGAGCTGGTTTGGAGGGTAGAGATCCCAATAGTGGGTCACAAAATACACCCTTTCTTGCAATCCTCATGTTTCCTCTCCTATGGACCCTCATGTGAGATCCCTGAGCTCTCCAACCTCTGCCTCACCACTCATTGAATGGAATGTCATGATTCAGGGAAGACTGATAGTGTTTCAGTTTAATTATGGCCCAGATTTTCACAAATAATTATAGGAGTATCAGTATGTATATCAAACAGAATGTTGCCAGTGAGCTCGTGGTAGGAAGCAAGAGAAATTACTCAGGATGATCTTGCAAGATTAAAAGTAAATAAAAACTTTCATAAAATCTGTCTTGGTATAGTAAAGGAGAAAAACTAAAAAGATTACCTAAATTTGACAGAAGATCCCCAAAGCATAGCCCTCATAAGCCATTTTGAGGAGGAATCACATGAATGCTTTCTTCTCAAATGGAAGCAAAGTTCTAACTAATCATTGGAAGAAGAGAGAATGGACTTCTGTGGCCAAGAAAGAAGCAAAAAGTTTTAACTCTATAGATCAAAATCTTCCCTGTGCATTTCATTCTGATGAACTGCGATGCATTTGGATCATCTGTTTCAACTCCCTCCCCCAAGTCTTTGAGACCTGTAACTTGGAGAAAATCCTGAGATTTTTATATCAAACTCTGGAACTTGGTGATAAACAGTAATATTTAGGATTTTTTCACATAACACTTAAAGGACAATGAAATATGGAGAGACTCCCAGAAATCACGCTTAGGACTTCTAGGGGACCCTGGTAGCGCAGCAGGTTAAACTGCTGAGCTGCTGAATTTGCTGACTGAAAGGTTAGTGGTTCAAATCCAGAGGGTGGGGTGAGCTCCTGCTGTTAGCCCCAGCTTCTGCCTACCTAGCAGTTCAAAAACATGCAAGTGTGAGTAGATCAATAGGTACTGCTTCTGCGGGAAGGTAACAGTGCTCCATGCAGTCATGCTGGCCACATGACCTTGGCAGTGTCTACAGACAATGAGGGCTCTTCGGCTTAGAAATGGTGATGAGCAGGCCTGTAGCGAGGGGGTGGTTTTGGGGGTTCAACCCCCCCCGAAATGTTTCAGATTTTTTTAAAAAACCTGGTTTACTCATGAATTTTAACTGGTTAACCAAATCCCCATGCTAAGTCTATGAGATGCAAAATATTAAGAGTCCCTCCAGAACTGCAAGCACTATCTCAAGCAAATATTGACAATTTATTCACACTGTCATTACTTGCAGCAATAGCCGATGTAGTGAAGCAACCAAGTTGGGGGTGTGTGTGTTGAATGCTCTCATTAAGGAGGCCAGACTTGGTGGAGGTGGTTGACAGGGGCGGAGCTGCAGGCTATTGAAGGCTGCTCTGCCCCCTGCTGTGCTCTTTGCTTCAGCATGAGCTAGGAGGCAGGTTTCACCCCCCCCCCAACCCCCCCCCCGAAATTTTCAACCCTCCCCGAAATTTTCAACCCCCCCCCCGCCGAAATTGTCAACCCTCCCCGAAATTTTTTTCTAGCTACGGCCCTGGTGATGAGCACCAACCCCCAGTCGGACACGACTGGACTTAATGTTAGGGGGAACCTTTACTTAGGATTTTTTCCCATAACACTTCAAGCACAGTACACCCTTGATATCCACTGAGGTTTGGTTGAAGGACACCCTCATATTCCAAAATCTCTGAATGCTCACATCCCATTATATACAATAGTGCCCCTCATATAAAATAGTAAAATCTAGCTGTGCTTTTAAGATTTTTACAAAATGTTTTCAAGCCATGGATGGTTGGATCAATGGATGCAGAATCTTTTGATATGGAGGGGCAACTGTGTGATGTTTTAGTCTCTGTAATACAAATATGAAAAAAATTAAAATAACTCCTTTTGATGTTTACTTTCTGTGCCGATATCCTGTCAATAAATGTGAACAATATGAAAAACAACTAATTAATTTCTTCTCTGGTGTCAGGTTTTTTAAACATGTAATCTTTCACATACAAGGAGATTGGTTTGTCCATAACTTATCAAGAAAACACCAGATATTTACATCGCCAAGACTAAACACTTTTGAGCCCGTGTGGTAAAGTCATTGGAATCTGTTAGAGTATGAATCTAACAGAATCAGGTCCAAAACCTGCTTGGCCATGGGAATCCACATTGCAAACTTAGGATAATCCCATTGTCTCAGCTTCGGTGAAAGGCAAAGAAATCCCATCTGAACAAATCTTAACAGTAAAAAACCCATGATAGATTCATATTAGGGCTGAAAGTTGAAGGCACACAGCAAACAAGAGTAGATCAAAATCAGAGAAAGCATTTAAAATCAATTCAAGGAAAAACGACAATCTGTGCATCTGTGCATGAGATATCTGGGGAAGCAAACGCTACTGAAGATTCAAAGGGCACCTTTTCACAAAAAGCATATTTATGTTATCAACATTCTGCTTTTCATTACTTTGTCCAAGTTCTATATGTATGTATGCATGTATGTATGTATTTATTTATTTATTTATTGTGTACGCCAAGAAGCAATTTGTGGTTATGTAACCCAAATGATTGCAGCTGCAGTTTCTCCTGATCTGGAAAGATAAATCTTCTAACTTCCCGAGCTAGGCTGCCCTCTGCTGAGTTAACTGAGGATAAAGTACTGAGTACAAAATACTCACCTAAAATTAGTTGTTGGATCTCGATGTCATTTTCGTCAAACCAATCTTGATGTTTCTTGGTTTGATATCCAATAGTTTCTTGATGCAGTTGCCCTACTCTGAACTCAAGAACGGAAAACAGAATGTTGGTGGGCAGGAAAAGAGATTTAAAGACGGGCTCAAAGCCAACCTTAAAAACTCTGGCATAAACACTGAGAACTGGGAAGCCATGGCCCTTGAGCGCCCCAGCTGGAGGTCAGCTGTGACAAGCAGTGCTGTAGAATTTGAAGAGACACAAATGGAGGGCGAAAGAGAGAAACGTGCCAAGAGGAAGGCGTGCCAAGTCAACCCTGATCGGGGCCGCCTTCCACTTGAAAACCGATGCCCTCATTGTGGACACCTGCCCTGTCTGGAGCAAGCCAACCCCGACAGGGACCGCCTTCTACCTGGAAACCAATGTCCTCACTGCGGGAGAACATGCAGATCAAGAATAGGGCTCCACAGTCACCTATGGACCCACTGCCACTACACCGATCTTGGAAGACAATCCTACTCGGACAACGAGGGATTGCCTAAGTAAGTAAGTACTCACTTAAAGTGTTACAACTGTTCCCTCCTCTCCCCATTTGCTACAAACTCTCACTACAAAGGCAGGAAAATTATAACATTTTAAAAAGAGGCTAAAAAGTGGGAAAGAGAGAAGTAAATAGTGGGATCTTGGCTGACTCAGGACAGTTTAAGGCATTAAATAGTTGTCTGTGTGTAAAGCCACCTTGAATCCCCTTCAGGATTGAGAAGGGTGGGGTATAAATATGATAAATAAATAAAGTTGAAGGTATAAAATTTGGTGACAATCAGCTTTACTTGTAAGAAGTGACCATAGTGGCAAAGACACAACATCTGACCAATTAAGTTTCCTTATGTATTCAGGTTCATGTCATAGAATCATAGAACCATAGAATCATTGAGTTGGAAGAGACCTCGTGGGCAGGCATGTAGCCGGGGGGGGGGGGGGTTGGAGGGGGTCCAGCCCCCCCCCCAAATTCTCATGGTGGTTCGCGAAAAGGCCTTACTGTTGCATTATTTAAACTGTTATGTTTATTCATATCATGATCTGATCACCATACTCAATATATCCCATATGCATGGGGGTATTGGGGTAACTGATACAAAAGGTTTGCTAGGGTAGACCCTCTTTCACTCAGACTCAGCCCCCCCCCCGAAACTCAGCCCCCCCCCGAAACCCCCCCCCCCCCCCCCCCCCGAATCGAAATCCTGGCTATGGGCCTGCTCGTGGGGCATCCAGTCCACGTCTCATCCATATTCTAGCACCCAAGGCCCTTGGGCCAATTTGTGCAACATAATACTCTTCCTATTCACCTTCTCATGAACGTCTAGCAAACACAGTAATCCTTAGAGCTCAACACAATCAAATTCTTTGCACTGTTACTTTGTGGTAAAACAGTCAGTCTCAGAATGTTGCTCTTTAATTAAAAGATTAAAATCCAACTCATACAATTCAGAACTTCAGTTGCCTGAAGCAAGAACTTCAGAAAACCTTTCAAGGGAAACAATGGCAAACTTGGGTCTTCACTTTGAGAGACTGGTTCAATTTCATGAGTATTTGAAAAAGAAGTGACTTTAGGTGTTATTGACAACATTGATTTTTTTTAAAGATTATATTGAGGAGGTAGAAATCAGATGGGATCTCAGAATACAATTTAATTTTTCTGGCTTGCTTCACACTGAGGATGCTGGATCCTAATGCAAAAGTTGCAAACTGTTAACAACAACCGTGCTGTGCTATTCTTAACTATGCTTGTATATAATTACTTTATTGCCATTTAGTGTTATTGGGTGCTGTTTTGGCATATCTATTATGTTGTCTGTTATCACCTATTTAGGAATTTATTGAGACTAACATGCACATGTGAAGATACTGTAGAATCCTGAAGAAGGGGAAGTCTCCCGAAACGAGGTATTTCAACCCAGGGATCCTTGTCGACGTTATATTACTTTCCCAAGGACAGTTCTAGTGTTTAGTTTATTGATTCAAAGACTTTGCAAATATTTTCTCAATATTTGCCAACTTTTTGAAAGATTAAACTGAAGAGTGAAGACACAAACTCTGTCTGCATGAGCAACCTCCGTAGCGAGGAAGAATAATATCATTTGGACTTGTACCTTGTGAATGTTATTTTCTAAAAAAACATTTCAAGTGTTTAGTCTGTGGTTTCAGAAATGTTGTTTATATATTTTTTTATATCTATCAGTCGCTTATTATATCATACGAAAGAGTGAAATTATAACTCTGACTTTACGAGTAAACTCTGGAGGGAGGCAACAAAGTATCATTAAGGCTTGTACCTTATGTATTATTCTTTAGTGATTTATTTGCAGATTAAACTGGCAAGCATAGTTAAGAATAGCACAGCACAGTTGTTGATAACAGTTTGCAACTTTTGTTTTGCTATTTGTTATAGATATCTGTGTTCCTTGGATCCTAATGCAATCCAGTGTTCATGCATCAGAAAGATCCACCGCTGTACATTTGGAACATATTTGAAATGCAGGGCTTCCCCTACATGATAACAATGCAAGGCAGAAAGAGCTTAAGTGATATTTTTGTCCTTTTCTGCTTACACTTCCAGAATTCAACCCTCAATTCTGGTGACAGTGTGTCTCTTACCAAAACTTGCTCCTCCAAAAGTGAAATGTAACTTAGGACTATCCTAGTTGTGTCTAGGGAATTGTGTTCCTCATGAAAATTCGTAGTTCTCCCCATCTCAAGTTTTGGAAAAGGAGAATATCTTTTGCCAGGGCTGTATTGTGCTGGACATCACCATAGAGTGCCATTGTTGTTGCGGCTACTACCCAGTTTAATCAGCACTTATGACAGCAACCTTAGTGATCCCCTATTTTTTTCAGTGGTGGCAGTGTAAACCTTTGGGGAATAGACAGGACTCAGCACATAATTTAATGCAGGAAAGTTTGCCAACTGATTGAAACATTACTCGAGTAACCACTAGTGGTGAGAAATTCTGTTCAAGTGAGTATACAAGCCAACAAAGGAGGGACAGAAGATGCTACCTCTTCTGTATTTAGTGCTGAAATTAATAAAGATGAGAAAAGTTCTGTTTTGGATTACAGTCCCCACTTATTCATGGGGGACTCTGGATGTTGTAGTCCAAAATGTAGCCATGTTTACTGTTCAAGTGTGTGATTCAATATGTAACTTTCACAAGCTTTAGGGATGACGTGCACTACTGCAAGAGGAACAGAGTACATTTCCTTATTGGAAATGCTTGGGACTACATGTTTACCAGATTTTTGATGTTTTGAGATCTTGAAATACCTACATTTGTATAACCTTAATGGATAGCGCCTTGGGACTTTTTTTTTTATCATGTCAGAAGCGACTTGAGAAATTGCAAGTCACTTCTGGTGTGAGAGAATTGGCCATCTGCAGAGACATTGCTCAGGGGATGCCCAGATGTGGGAGGCTTCTCTCATGTCCCTGCATGGAAAGCTGGAGCTGACAGATGGGAGCTCAACCCATCTTGCACATTCGAACCACTGACCTTCAGGTCAGCAATTCAACTGGCACAAGGCTTTAAGCCATTGCACCACTGCTGCTCCTTGAGACTGACCCCTTTCTGCACTGATCTAAACTGTCCTAAAGAATGAGCCTGGGTGTTTATAACAAGGTGTGTTTTACTCTCTTTTTCTCTGTGTCTTTTGTGACAAATAATCTTTTCAAGTGACTCCTGAACAAAATATGAAATGCTATGGCTAGCAAAGGATGCTTGGATTCAGCATCAATGTGTCAGGAAAATTAGTACCATTGAAAGCAAAGTGAGAGACAACAGGAAATATAATCCAGATTGCATGTAATGGTCATACTGAGTCTCAAATGAGTTCCAACAACTTACAACAATGAGGTTCAGAGTTCTTCTGTATAAAGGTTACACACCATCCACCTGCGGGTTGAATATTAAACTATGAACCTGCTGGCAAAACCAAGAAAGGAACTCGAAACCAGTTCTACATTTATTGCTCTAAAGTGGGAGGAGTGCAAAGAGAAACAGTATGGAAACTCTGAGAGTAGAGTAGTACCTAGTATCTAGAGCAGTTATAATGTATCAGTATCTCCCCATTTTGTATCTAGTTGTGCCTTTGGAGAATGACTGCAGTTTTAGATTCTGTTATCCTGGCTGTTCTTCAAGGATATGCTCCCTCCATGTGTAATTTCATTCTTTGACAGAAAAGCATCTTGTCCTTGGAGCATGTGTAAAGTATGAACACACATGCAGTGAGCATTTCAAATCCTGTGCATGGATAGTAAAATCGATGGGTTGATTTGAATGGTATCATAGTGAATGGTTCATTTTAGATAACCCAAAGAACTAGAGCTTTGGGCTTTTAAATATATGGACAGATACTGGAGAGCAACTTTATTTATTTATTTACCGCATTTATATCCTGCCTTTCTCTAGCCCAAGGGGAACTCAAGGCGGCTTACATATGGCACCTCCGCAGTGTCTTAAAAACATACAATGTTAACTTTAAAATAACTTGGATTAAAATTAATGCATAATTAAAATACATTCCAATGTTAAACACACCAAACGAGATGTGGCATGGAGACAGAGGAGATCAACATGCAAGCACAGGGTACTCACAATGAACAGGAGCTCTCATGGAGCTTTCCAACTCTCTGGGAGTGGCAGCAGCTACATGGACAGTAAAACGATGGTCCAGCAGACCAGATACAGTCTTGATCTGGCTTGATCATTTGTATTCTTATCCACTACCATGGTGGGTAATGGTTTGTGACCAACTTTGGAGCCAATATGGAGCAGGTCTGTTCCTCAGTGACTCTGGCAGACATAACCTAGATATCATTTAACCAAAAAATCACCAAGAAAGGCATTCCACATACAGAAGTTTGGCTGCCTCAGCCAAAATATATTCAAAATATCGGCATAGCCCTAGATAGTCTGATACACTGATAGCTTTTTATAAATCTAAACTACACTCTGAAGGTTTGTCTAGAATAGCTTTTGGCAGGGTTCCTTCCGACTCTTAACAGCTAGTAAACTGGCTGAGACTTCTGGGAGCTGAAGTCCAAAACACTTGGAAGAGCAGAATTTGAGAATCACTGCTCTAAGGGATACTGGTTCATCCTTTTACCTCCCCAGAAAATAAATCTAAACATTCTAAAAAATGAAATCATCACGTTCATATTGGATTACTCAATCAAAATGCTAGTGATTAATTAGCTGAAATATCTTCATCATATCTTCAGCTGGGCCCCTTCCCCAGTTTTGCCCCATTAGAGCTGGTTCAGTCAAAGTTTCTGAGATCGGCCTTGCAGGTCCCTAAATGCGTTTCTAATGCCACCCTCTTTATGAGAGTGGAGGCCAGGGTGTGAGTGGCCATACTCAACCTCTGGCTCAGACTATCCCGTGCACCCTTTGGTCTTGCCCCACTAACCATGAAGGATGACTTCCAATCCACATGGAAGGAGTCGGAGACGACTGAACGAATGAACAACAACAACTACTCGCTATGGATTACAATCAAGCCAAAGCACTTATTTAACAACGAATCACAGACACAGAGCGACAACTAGATCTGGCCTCGGCTCCAACCTTCCTTATCAGTGAAGACAGCAGATATCTTGCCTCCCCTATGGCATATTTAACAAACTTAGAGTTTCCATTCATCGAAGGGCTTTCACCCTGGCTCGATGCCACGCTCTCCCATCAGCTGTACTCGAAGGCCGCTACCGGAAGATCCTTTTCCCAGAGAGACTCTGCCCCTGTGACTCGGGTCATGTAGAAACAATAGAACATGTGCTCCTTCAGTGCCCGTTCTACAGGGATATCTGTGCCAGGCTTATCTTACCTCTGATATACAAGCACCCAGGCCATTCAGGACAATTTTATACCTCCCTGCTACTTGCAGATACTAATTCAGCTACAACCTACAATGTTGCAAAGTTCTGTGCAGCAGCATACAAAATCCGTCAGGGAATGACTAGTCCCAAAAGTTAACTGTGTGTCCAGTAATCTTCTTCTCTGAATCTACAATTTGGTGATGGATCTGGGCATTGTATGTTTTTACCCTGTTTCCCCTTCCCTTCTGCTCCCTCGCCCATATTGTGCTTCAGTCGTTATATTTATATTTTTAATGTACCAAACATACCAAGTTTGTATGAAAATGTGACTATTTCCTGTGCTGGTCAATGACCGAAATAAATGATTTGATTTGAAATGCTAGTGATTAATTAGCTGAAATATCTTCATCAACAATCATAGTTGTTTGGGTTTTAGCTGTCACGTGGCATGCTATATTTTTATTTCCTCAACAAGGGGGAAAAAAACAGTCACAACATCCTCATTGAAGCCGTGTAAAGAATGTCTGCCCTCTGTGCTGCAGTCTTAAGGAGAAGGAAACCCTGCCAGAAATTAGGATTAGGTCTGATAGTGGAACACAGTGAGCTAGCATATCTCAGGTGAAGGGAGACAGCTAGAATATGGGATTTTGCAAGTGCTGAGAGATTCATCAAGGTTTGGTCCTCAGAGTCCGGAAGGAGGAAATGCTACAAGCCCTACCCTTTTACCTTTGCTATGACATTTTTATAGCACAAATACCAAGGCTCAAATGAAACGGCTTTACCGTTTGAAGCAAAAACCCTTTGAGGACACTTCGGGACAGGATCATGAAAATTGTGCCCTCTCATCTGGTGGTGTGGCTGCTTCAGCTCACAATGCTGCAAGGTAATTGTGGTGTGGGAGACCGGGAGGCTGGGGAGGGAATCTGGTGATAGCCCCTTAATGTTTCCCATATCTACCATGAGATAAAGAAGGGAAGGAAAAGAGGGTCTTTCAATAAGAAGTCCAAAATTAAATGGGGAAAGTCATGATATGGAATCTTAGAACTTTTGGAGGACCACTATCCCAAAATCTGCAACTCTGCATGACCAGCATCAGGCCCGGTGATTTTTTTGTTGTTGTTGTGTCAGGAGCGACTTGCAAAACTGCAAGTTGCTTCTGTTGTGAGAGAATTGGCCATCTGCAAGGATGTTGCCCAGGGGTCGCCTGGATGTTTTTGATGTTTTTACCATCCTTGTGGGAGGCTTCTCTCATGTCCCCGTATGAGGAGCTGGAGCTGATAGAGGGAGCTCATCTGTGCTCTCCCCGGATTCTGATTCGAACCTGCGACCTCTCGGTCTTCAGTCCTGCCAGAACAGGGGTTTAACCCACTGCATCACCGGGGCCTCCAGGCCCGATGATGAGACTGTTCCTCATCTTATGCTTCCTTGTTGAGCAATTGGAAACCTAGGCATCATCTATGGCAGTACCTCTGTTTTATAGACAGGTGGATGTGGGATATTTTTTCATTGATAACCCACAACTATTTTATTTATAACAAGTACTTTGATTGTGGGAAACCAAAAGTAAAGAACAGCCCAGGAAATGCACTTTTGTTTCCACTGTTATTTTTTCATTTCATGTATACAGTGGCCCCTCACTTATTGCGGGGGTTACTTGTCAATCTAATGAGCACCTTAGCAAAACCAGTTTCCCCCATACTGCAATAAGTGAAATTCCACGAAGTAGGGACGCCCTCTCTCCTTCCCTCCTTGCCCTCTTTACCTTCCTCTTCCTTCCTCCTCCTCCTCGCTGCCTGGGCCTCTTGCCGTGGCTTGGGCCCCATGCCACCTCCGCCTCCTCCTCAAGTGGCGGCAAGAGGTCCAGGCAGCAATGAGGAGGAGGAAGAGGAAGGTAAAGAGGGCGAGGAGGCAAGAAGAGCCACTTGGGTAAAGAGGGCAAGGGGGAGGCTCTTTTTTCCTCCTTGCTACAGTGTTCCCTCGCTACTTAAATTATACACACACACACACATGAACCAGCAAGTCCACGGTAAGCGAACCACGAAGTAGTGAGGGAACACTGTATTTTATTTATTTATTTATTTCATGCTTTTCTACCCTGCCCTTCTCCCCCCGAAGAGGGACTCAGGGCAGCCTCACACAAGCATCATATGATGCTATTATCATATAAACAGACAAAAATTACATTAAAACCATTAAAACATTTTATACAATTCATTAAATGATACATTAAACATGCCAATTAAAACCAAATCCAGTCGGGTAAATCGAATGTCTTAGATTTTCTTTCCAATTGCCGCTGTCCACTAATCGAACAACTGGTCCCTGAGCCAAGTCTTCAATTGTCATCTAAAGGACAGGAGGGAGGTGGCCAACCTGATGTCCTTAGGGAGAGAGTTCCACAGACCAGGGGCCACCACCGAGAAGGCCCTGTCTCTCATCCCCACCAACCACATTTGCAAAAGTGGTGGGATCGAGAGCAGGGCCTCTCCTGACGATCTTAAGCTTCGTGGTGGTTTGTAATAGGAGATACATTCGGACAGGTAATTTGGGCCAGAACCGTTTAGAGTTTTAAAGGTTAAAACCAGCACTTTGAATTGTGCCCGGAAGCTGATCAGCAGCCAGTGGAGCTGACGTAACAGAGGAGTTGTACGTTCTCTGTACGGCACTCCACTGAGTAGCCTGGTTGCCGACCGTTGGACTAATTAAAGCTTCCAAGAGGTCTTCAAAGGCAGCCTCACGTAGAGAGCATGGCAGTAGTCTATTTTACCTTTCCTCTATGTAATTAAGATATCCTAGCTTACTCTAATAGCAATGGCATAAATAACAATGACAAAGAAGGCTTCTCTAGTATTTTTCTCCCCAGTCATGGACCACATGTACACTATCTTTACCTGAACAAAGTTGTAGCTATAGGTCAGGTCTGGGAAGTCCCATAGTTGTGTCCAGAATCTCTAATTACCAATATACTAGTTTGGTACCACTTAAATTATCATGACTCTATCCCATGGAATTCTGGAAAGTAAAATTTTGAGAAGTTCTCAGAATTTTCAAGTTCTCTCAAGAATTAAGTTATTGTTGTGGACCTTCAAGTCTTTTCTGAGTTATGGTGATCCTTTAGACAGCCCTAGCTTACTCTAATAACAATGGCAGAAATAACAACGGCAGGGCGGGCTTCTCCAGCATTCTTCTCCCCAGTCATGGACCACACTTACACCATCTTTGCCTGAACAAAGTTGTAATTTTAGGTCAGGACTAGGAAGTCCCATGGGTGTATTCAGAATCTAGAATTACCAGTATACCAGTTTGGTACCACTTTCTTTATCACGATTCCATAAAATTCTGGAAAGTAAATTTTGGTGAAGTTCTCAGAATTTTCAAGTTTTCTCAAAAATGAGTTATTATTGTGGACCTTCAATTTATTTACTTACTTACTTACTTACTTACTTACTTACTTATTTACTTCATTTATACCTCACCTTTTTCACGGGGGGGGACTCAAGGTGGCTTACAGTTCCTTCAAGTCCTTTCTCAGTTATGGTGACCCTTTAAATGACCCTATATCTATGATTTTATGATTCTGCCACAGGGTTTTCTGTGGGCTGAGAGAATGTGACTCCATAGCTGAGCAGGAAATCAAATTTCAATCATACTCCAATGCACAAACCATTCCATGGCATAAAACTCTCTGGCAGTGAAGTAGCCCATAAAACAGTAAATCCCAGGATCCCATATGCCATTGTAACTAAAGCAATACTAAATTGCTATAATTATGTAGTCTATCTTCTTTTTTAAAAAAAATCCACCAACCGGAATACTATACGCATACTCAGCATAGAACCCAGATCTAGGAATGCATTTTCTCCCTCAGATGTCAGCTTCTGGCTATGCCAAGTTCTCTTCATTTTAAGAGACCAATTTAGACGGAGAAAGTAAATTTGTTAAACATTTAACAACCAGGAACCATCGCCAATCTACAGCAAAGCAACCAGGTGTCTACCATTAGATCCTGCCACACCTTCTACTCACCTCTGCATTAGATCATCTCAGAATATATCAGAATGTACAAGAAAATGTTTCCTTTTTTTCCAACTACACCTTCATACAGAATGCCTGTTGCCTTACAAGGAAGGAAAACACATTTAATTGTAAAACGGAACCATTCAGTCTGCATATTTACATGCCCCCCTCACATGTACATATAGACTGTTCATTTCTAAAAGTAAAGGACTTTGGGTTGGATCTAGATACTTAAACCCTATTCAGATGTTCAGAAGGGGCTTATATCAAAAAGCAAAGAATCAAGTTTGATCACAAGAAAATTGGTGGTCCTGAAAAGTAAAGAACCCTATGCTCTGGGCCCATTTTGTTCCTACCTACCTAGTTTTGCATTCTTCTTCTTCTTCTTCAGTGTCTCTTGTGTGAAATACTTTCTTCTTTTTTCTCTTTTACCTAGGTGCTGTTAGCTCCGAAGCAGGTGAGTGATAATATCAAGATTCATTGTTGTTGTTGTTCATTCGTTCAGTCGTCTCCGACTCTTCGTGACCTCATGGACCAGCCCACGCCAGAGCTCCCTGTCGGCCGTTACCACCCCCAGCTCCCTCAAGGTCAGTCCAGTCACTTCAAGGATGCCATCCATCCATCTTGCCCTTGGTCGGCCCCTCTTCCTTTTGCCTTCCACTTTCCCCAGCATAATTGTCTTCTCTAGGCTTTCCTGTCTCCTCATGATGTGGCCAAAGTACTTCAACTTTTTCTCTAGTATCTTTCCCTCCAGTGAGCAGTCGGGCTTTATTTCCTGGAGGATGGACTGGTTGGATCTTCTCGCAGTCCAAGGCACTCTCAGAACTTTCCTCCAACACCACAGCTCAAAAGCATCTATCTTCCTTCGCTCAGCCTTCCCTAAGGTCCAGCTCTCACATCCGTAGGTTACTACAGGGAATACCATTGCTTTAACTATGCGGATATTTATTGTTAGTGTAATGTCTCTACTCTTCACTATTTTATCGAGATTGACCATTGCTTTCCTCCCAAGAAGTAAGTGTCTTCTGATTTCCTGGCTGCAGTCTGCGTCTGCAATAATCTTCGCTCATAGAAATACAAAGTCTGTCACTGCCTCCACGTTTTCTCCCTCTATTTTCCAGTTGTCAATCATTCTTGTTGCCGTAATCTTGGTTTTTTTAATGTTTAACTGCAATCCAGTTTTTGCGCTTTCTTCTTTCACCTTGATTAGAAGTCTCTTCAGCTCCTCCTCGCTTTTGGCCATCAAAGTGGTGCCATCTGCATATCTAAGGTTGTTAATGTTTCTTCAAGCAATTTTCACCCAGCCTTGCATTTGTCAAGCCACGCACATCGCATGATGTGTTCTGCATACAAGTTAAAAAGGTTGGGTGAGAGTATGCAGCCTTGCCGTACGCCTTTCCCAATCTTGAACCAGTCTGTTGTTCCGTGGTCAGTTCTTACTGTTGCTACTTGGTCCTTGTACAGATTCCTCAGGAGAGAGACAAGGTGGCTTGGGATGCCCATCCCACCAAGAACTTGCCACAATTTATTATGATCCACACAGTCAAAGGCTTTAGAATAGTCAATAAAATAGAAATAGAAGTTTTTCTTAAATTCTCTGCCTTTCTCCATTATCCAGCAGATATTGCCAATTTAGTCTCTCGTTCCTCTGCCTTTTCTTAATGCAGCTTGTACAGCTGGCAACTCTCTCTCCATGTATTGCTGAGTCTGCCTTGCAGGATCTTGAGCCTTACCTTACTAGCATGTGAAATAAGTGCCTCTGTATGATAGTGGATCCCCTATTTAATTTCCCTTTTTTGGTATGGGGGTATAAGTTGATTTTTTCCAGTCTGATGGCCATTCTTGTGTTTTCCATATTTGCTGGCAAATGGCATGCATCACCTTGACAGCATCATCTTTTAAGATTTTAAACAGTTCAGCTGGGATCCCGTCGTCTCCTGCTGCCTTTTTGTTAGCAATGCTTCTTAAGGCCCATTCAACCTCACTCCTCAGGATGTCTGGTTCTAATTCATTCACCACACCTGTCAAAACTATCCTCAATATTATTATCCTTCCTATACGGATCTTCTGTATAGTCTCGCCACCTTCTCTTGATCTCTTCAGCTTCTGTTAGGTCCCTGCCATCTTTGTTTTTTTACCATACCAATTTTTGCCTGAAATTTACCTCCAATGTTTCTAATTTTCTGGAAGAGGTCTCTTGTCCTTCCTATTCTGTTGTCTTCTTCCACTTCCATGCATTGCTTATTTAAAAATAGTTCCTTATCTCTTCTGGCTAACCTCTGGAATTGCGCATTTAACTGGTCGTATCTCCCCTTATCCCTGTTTCCTTTTGCTTTCCTCCTTTCTTGGGCTACTTCCAGTGTCTCAGCAGACAACCATTTTGCCTTCTTGGTTTTCTTTTTCTTTGGGACGTACTTTGTTGCCGCCTCCTGAACAATGTCGGACTTCTGTCCATAGTTCATCTGGGACTCTGTTTACTAAATCTAGTCCTTCAAATCTGTTCTTCACTTCCACTGTATATTCGCTAGGAATGTTAGTGAGATCATATCTAACTGGTCTCTGTATTTTCCCTGATCTCTTTAGTTTTATTCTAAATTGGCAATAAGAAGTTCGTGATCTGAGCTACAGTCAGCCCCAGGTCTTGTTTTCACCGACTGGATGGATGTCCGCCACCTTTGGCTGCAAAGGATGTAGTCAATCTGATTTCGGTGCTGACCATCTGGTGAGATCCGTGTATAAAGCCGTCTTTTAGGTTGTTGGAAGAGAGTGTTTGTTATACACAGCGAGTTTTCCTGACAAAATTCTATCAGCCTGCGTCCCGCTTCATTTTGTTCTCCCAGACCATGCTTGCCTGTGATCCCAGTTGTCATTTGACTTCCCACCTTGGCATTCCAGTCTCCTGTAATGAAAATAATGTCTCTTTTTGGTGTATTATCCAGTAGGTCCTGCATATCCTCATAGAACTGATCTACTTCTGCTTCTTCAGCAGCTGTGGTTGGGGCGTATATTTGGATCACTGTGATGTTGAAAGGCTTTCCTTGCACTCGAATTGAGATCATTCTGTCATTTTTTGGGTTGTATCCAAGCACTGCTTTAGCGAATTTCTTATTAATTATGAAGGCTACTCCATTTCTTCGATGTTCCTCTTGTCCGCAGTAGTAGATCTGGTGGTCATCTGATGTGAAGTGGCCCATTCCAGTCCACTTCAGTTCGCTGACCCCCAGAATGTCTATCTTTAGTCTTGACATCTCACCAATAATAACATCCAATTTGCCCTGGCTCATAGATCTTACATTCCAGGTTCCTATGGTGTGTTGATCTTTAGAGCATCGGATTCGTCGTTCACCTCCAGTACCGTCGGCCGCTAGCCTTCCTTTCGGCTTTGAGCTAGCTGCGTCATCACATCTGGGGCTAGTTGAACTTATCCTCTGCTCCTCCCCAGTAGCATTTTGGCCATCTTCCGACCTGGGAGTCCCATCTTCCAATGGCATACCGCATATCTCTGGTTGTACTGGTCCATTTAGTTTTCTTGGCAAGGATACTGGAGTGGTTTGCCATTGCCTTCCCCAGGGATCACGCTTGGTCTGACCTCTCTGCCACAACCGTCCCGTCTTGGGTGGCCCTTCACAGTTTCGCTCATGACATCATTGAGGTGCTCAAGCTCCAGCGCCCCGACAAGGCGGTGATCCTTTGCTGGAGATTCATTATGCATAAGATTTTCACAAGTGAAAGTGAGGCAGATTTTAAAAAGTGAAAATTCCTGGTATAGAGGAAAGCAGTTATTGATATAACATCCAGTTCAACTTTGGACACATGGTGTCATTGTTGCCCTAGAGTCTTGAAACACCTTTTCACCACGAACCACACTCTGTCCAGGTACTCCAGTAAGTAAAAGTTTATTTAAAAACGAGCATACGTTAAAAAAAAAGCAAATTAAAAAAAAGAATCAAAGTTCAAAAGGTTATTTCCAAGATCGCTGAGAGGCCACAATCATTTCAAATACAGTCTCCAGAATTAATTCACAAATAAATCCCTAAACATGATAGCATGAATCTAAGGCAGACAACCTATGCCACACATGAATTAAAAGCAAGAACAAACTTTAAAACTTGAACATAGGAATTCCAAGAACATAGGACTAAAAACTGAGCGCTGTTCATCTGAAAACAACGTTGCTCTCACAAAGGATTGTACCAACAGGAACCATTTTAAAAGGCCCCAGTCTCTCCCATAACATCATTTTTCACACACCTGAGTCTACAGGGAAAGACAAAACTCTATTGTCCAATACTGAACTGAGTGCACTTTAAACCATTTGCAGCTATTGGACTAAGCTGAAGACCAAGAGGGAACAGGAAAAATAAACTGGGACATTTTAAAAGCAGCTGGAAAAGTGGAGTGACAGATCATTGATGGGGATGTCCCTGTCAAATTGGATGCAACAGTAATCTGCAACAAGAAATGTCGATGTGAACTTCCTAATCAAATATAGATATTTGAATTTATTTGAACAGCAATAATAAATCCACTTTATCTTAAGGCATGAATTTGCAAGTAGAAAATCCCTGTAAAATGTATCAGGGGTCAAATGCTAAGGATAGTAATACAGTAGGTTCTCCTTAATGGGAGTTAGGAATTCAAACTCCTTGCAAAAATGAAAAAAAGGAAATAAAGTCACTTTTAACCTTGCTAGGATTCTCCAGTATGATTTTGTGAAGTTGACTATAGAGTCACCCTGGAGGATCTAGAGATTCATAAAGAGAACATATTAATGAAATCCATGAATAATCATTTCCTCAAAAGTTAAACCCCAATAATGTGATGTACACATTATGGCAACTGCCATAATGTATTGCCTTTGGCAATACATTGCATATGATATTGCTTTGTGTTAGAATGCAGAAAGGTGAGATTCTTCAAGCATTCCTAACATTGACATTTGAGTCTCCTTCTGGAGAGAAAAAACAGGGTATAAACATAATAAACATAAACAACATAAACATAAACATAATAATGATGATAATAATAATAATAATAATAATAATAATAATAATAATAATAATTGAAATTGAAAAGTCAACTACAGATTCCAAGTGTAAACTCTGCAAGGAAGCAGATGAAATTATATATCATATACTCATCTGCTGTAAGAAGATCGTGCAGACGGACTACAAGCAAAGGCATAATACCAGTGCTCAGATGATCCATTGGAACTTGTTTCACAAATACCATCTGCCTGTGACAAAGAACTGTTGAAATCACAAACCTGAAAAGGTACAGAAAATGAACATGTCAAACTCCTCTGGGACTTTCAAATTCAGATTGACAGAGTTTTGAAGCACAATATTCTTGATCTCACAAGGCGACAGCAGAATTGACAAGAAGCAACTGGAAAAGCTGACATGATATGAGGATTTAAAGACAGTACTTCAAAGACTCTGGCACAAGCCAGTCAAGGTGGTCCTAGTGGTGACCAGCACACTGAGTGCAGTGCTTAAATACCTTGGCCAGCACTTAAAAACAACTAGTGCTGACAAAATTACCACCTGTCAGCTGCAAAGGGCCACCCTACTCATATCTGCACGCATTATTCGCCGATACATCACACAGTCCTAGACCCTTGGAGAGTGTCCAATGTGTGATCCAATACAATGGCTGGCATAATGATCTTGTTTACTGTGTACTAATCTTGTTGTGAATCAAATACAGTAGAGTCTCACTTATCCAACCTTCACTCATCCAACATTCTGTAGTATCCACTGCAGTCTGCCTCCCACCCAGAATAATGTCAAGAGTGGGAGAAAGAAAGAACCCTTGTCTGTTTTGGTGCTAAATTCGTAATTATGATACATAATGTTACTGTGTATTGAACTGCTTTTTCTGTTGATTTGTTGTAAAAACATGTTTTGGTGGTTAATTTGTAATCAGAATGTAATTTGACGTTTTCCTTTATCCCTCCTTATTATCCAACATTTTCACTTATCCAATGTACTGCCAGCCCATTTATATTGGATAAGCAAGACTCTGCTGCAGTAATAATAATAATTGACTTGCCAGAGAAATGCTCACTTACTTGTTGCTTTGCAATTCTACCCTAAATATTCACAAGCCAATTCATATTGAGAAATGTTGTCTTACCTTCTCACACAACCTGTCCTTATTGTCCTCCACAGACTGTGGGCTGCCAGTGATCTCTCCGCGAATTGTTGGAGGGGAACCAGCTAATGATGGTGAATGGCCGTGGCAGGTCAGCATCTATGAAAATGGCGTGCATGTGTGTGGAGGCTCCCTCATCGCCAGTGAGTGGGTGCTCTCGGCTGCTCATTGCTTTCAGTGAGTATCTGAGATAAGTTGCAGAAGCAGCTCTCCCACAGCCTAAGGTGGGAAACACAATTGTCATGGAAAAGTTCAGATCCTACTTACCTATCTGACCTCATCTCCTCATACCAACCTGCCCAAACTTTAAGATCTTCTAGCAAGGCCCTCCTCTTGTTACAGCCTCCATCGCAAATGCAGTTGGCAGCAACGAGAGACAGGGCCTACTCTGTGATCGCTCCAACTCTTTGGAACTCCCTCCCCAAGCAGGTTAAAAAGCCCCTTCCCTGACATTTTTTTAAAAGCAGCTAAAGACCTTCCTGTTCACGCAAACTTTTGATGGAGGCACTTAGCTGTAATGTCAAGGCTAACTTTTATTGAGTCGTGCTGATGTTTACCATTTGTCTTGTTGTGTTGCCTGCAATAATTGACAAATGTTTTTAAATACGTTTATTTATTTCTTATTGTAAATTTGTTTTTATAGATTATTGTTTTACATATGCATATTGTTTTATGTGGTCTTTTATATAATATTGTAAGCCGCTTTGGGTCCCATTTAAGGAGAAAAGCAGGATATACATCATCATCATCATCATTATTATTATTATTATTATTATTATTATTATTATTATAAAAGTTAATGCTAGTATATTGCCATGTGATATAGCACTATAACAATGTAGTATGGTAGGGCACTGAGGGCACATCTAAACTGACATTATGATGCAACTTGGAACCAGTATGGGGGGAACTGGTTTGGCTAAGGTGCTCATTAGATTGACAAGACTGAAACTGGTTTCGACTAAGTGGGTGATGATATTGAACATGGAACTTGACTGTAAATCTTTCTTTTCCATTTGGGGGGAAAATGCCATTTGAGGGAGAGATGCGCATCAGCACACCAGAGGCGTTCAGGGTGGGAAAGGGGAACAGTGACAGTTAGGATCAGAAGTACTATAATCCATTACCCCTCCCAGAGGACTAATTGGACCCTTGCTGCCCAGTCATGGCCTTGGGGTACTTTTCAGCAGCCCCATCCTAGAGTCTATAATGTGCTTCAGCTGGGGCAGGTGTCCACAATGAGGGCATCGGTTTTCAAGTGGAGGGCTGTCCCGATCAGGGTTGACTTGACACGCCTTCCTCTTGGCACGTTTCTCTCTTTCGCCCTCCATTTGTGCCTCTTCAAATTCTACAGCACTGCTGGTCACAGCTGACCTCCAGCTAGAGCGCTCAAGGGCCAGGGCTTCCCAGTTCTCAGTGTCTATGCCACAGTTTTTAAGGTTGGCTTTGAGCCCATCTTTAAATCTCTTTCTGTCCTCCAACATTCTGTTTTCCATTCTTGAGTTCGGAGTAGAGCAACTGCTTTGGGAGATGGTGATTGGACATTCAGACAATGTGGCCAGTCCAGCAGAAATTATGGCAGAGGACCATCACTTCAATGCTGGTGGTCTTTGCTTCTTCCAGCATGCTGACATTTGTCTGCCTGTTTTCTCAAGAGATTTGCAGGATTTTTTAGAGGCAACGCTGATGGAGTCGTTCCAGGAGTTGCATGTGATGTCTGTAGACAGTCCACGTTTTGCAGGCATATAGCAGGGTTGGGAGGACAATAGCTTTATAAACAAGCACCTTGGTATCCCTACAGATGTCCCGGTCCTCAAACACTCTCTGCTTCATTCGGAAAAATGCTGCACTCGCAGAGCTCAGGTGGTATTGTATTTCAGTGTCAATGTTGACTTTTGTGGAAGGTGGCTTCGGAGAATCCCACCTACCTTTCCATCGAAACAAGTTATGTGATCCCCTCAAGTATTTCTTTTTATTCAGGCAAGTTGCCTGACAGGTGGAGGAGGGATACATTTAGGGTATAATAATCCCAGGAATTATCACTTACTTTGAAATCGATCATCCAGAAATGATGGAGGGAAAGATACTTTGTTTTTTCATTCAATTTGCTCTCATTGTGACTTTTCCAGAAATAAAGGAGAAAAAGATTTGCTGCTGGGTGCATATCAGCTCTCTAACCCCTCACCCAACTTGAAGATCTCTCAGATACAAGAGGTTATCCCCTACCCGGGCTACAACGGCGATGGCAATGACTACAAGGGCTCTACGGGGGACATCGCTTTAGTGAAGCTGGCCTCTCCAGTGAATTTCACAGACTACATTCTTCCTGTCTGTTTGCCAGATGCCTCTACCCAGATTCCTAGAGATTCAGATTGCTGGGTCACTGGTTGGGGACAAATTAATGAAAACGGTGAGAAAAAGAGAGGGGGAATGTTATGCTCCTTTCAGTTAAACCCTGCACAGCTGAATTATATATGGTATTATTTACTAATGGAAGAATTGTTAGGTATGATCCTTTGTATATAAAACCTTTTATAATACAGGACCCCCTTTTCTGCAGACTTGATATCCACAGTTTTGCTTACCTACACTCCAAAAAGTACTGTATTTTCTGGCATATAAGACTACTTTTTAACCCAGGAAAATGTTCTCAAAAGTTGGGTGTTGTCTTATAGGGCATGTGTTGAAACTTCCTAGCCAGACTGGAGAATCTGTGGTCGCTGCATATGGTGGGGGGAGCTCAAAAATGGCCACGGATACATCACCACCATATGGGGTGACTATATGAAAGCAGTAAGGGCGGCGCTGTACAAGTACGGTAGAAGAAAAGCCAGTCACCGGGATTCATGGAACAAAGTGACTTAACGCGGTCCCAGTGACGAGGTGAGGGGGTGCCTCACTGGGAAGGTGTAAGTAAAGGGTAGAGCAAGCTGCAGATATGCGGGATGCCTGAGGTATGGCAAAAAGAGATAGAGCAGCGTTGTGCCCAGAAAAACACACCTCTTTCACGCATATGGCCTGCCCTTGTATCCTATTACCGTACCTCCTTCTCTGCCTCTCAGATCTCACTCCTGAGAACTGCAGTGAAGCGGCGCAGGCGCACATGTGCGAGATCTGAGAGGCAGAGAAGGAGGTATGGTAATAGGAAAATTATCAGATTGAAATCAAATACAATGATTTTTTAATTTTTATTTGGTGTACATTGGAAGAGGGGTGGTCTTATACGGTGAGTATATGCCAACTCTATATTTTAACTGGAAAAGTTGGGGGTCGTCTTATACACCCAGTCGTCTTATACGCCAGAAAATACAGTATTTTCCCTCCCCAGAATATTTCTCAGTGTCCTCCAGTGTACTTTTGTGGTATGCTTTCAGCCCCATTATAGGGTATTATTACATAAGGCATGGAATGCAAGCTGCAGCCTTTTCAACCACAAATCTAATTAGTGTCTAGATCAAGTGAAGTAATGGTTCCTCTCTATTTTGCTTTGGTCAGACCGCATCTAGAGTATGGTGTCCTATTCTGGGCACCACAATTTAAGAGAGATATTGACAAGCTGGATAATGTGCACAGAGGAGGGTGACTAAAATGATCAAAGTTCTGGAGACCATGTCCTATGAGGAGCAGCTAAGAGAATTGGGAATATTTATCCCACAGAAGAGAAGGTTGAAAGGAGACACCGTCATGTATAAATATTTGAAAGGTTGTCATAAGACAGAGGGAGCAAGCTTGGTTTTGCTGCCCTGGAGACTAGGACTCAGAGCAATACATTCAAATTACAGAAAAGGAGATTCCACCTGAACATTAGGAAGTGCTTCCTGGCTGTGAGAACTGTTCAACAGTGGAACTCTTTGCCTTTAAGTATGGTGGAGGCTACTTCATTGGAGAATTTTAAACAGAGGTTGGGTGGCCATCTGTTAGGGATGTTTTGATTGTGCTTTCCCTGCGTGGCAGAGGTTTGGACTAGATGGCCCATGTCATCTCTTCCACCTCTATAATTCTAGCATTCTATGAAATGTTTTGTCCCACATTTATTCTGGGAAATCGTTGTTGAACCCAAAATAGGTTAATTACTTTAAAATCCAGACTATAACCTTGATGAACTTTCTACCTTGTTGACCCAGCAGTCAACAGCTGCCTTTCTCTATGGAGAAGGAATGAAGACAGAGTTCTCCATTCCGTCCCATTTTCTCTACCAGACATCATTATATAAATTGGTTTTTTCCTCATAACATGCAGTAGAAGAAGCAATCCAGATGAAATGGGGAAGAAGCAGAAATCTCTGAAAACCCACTAAAAAGAGACAAATTCTCAGAACTTGATGATGGAAGACAGACTGATTCTATTTCCTGCGATTGATTTAGAGCTCTTATTTCCAATGGAATTGTTATTATTATATTAATGTTCCCAAAGAGTACTGTACCCACATTTCACCAATATCCAATTTTCCTGCATTTACAGATGGCTTGGGGTCTCCAAAGACTCTTCAAGAACTAAAGGTGCCCCTCATAGAGAGAGACCCATGCAATGAACTCTTTAACATGAACCCAGAAGAAGACGTGGGCACAGATCCTATCAAGCCAGATATGATCTGTGCTGGTTACCCAGAAGGTGGAAAGGATTCCTGCTTTGTAAGTTGCCCTATAACCGTCTCTTCATAGAGCGACTGATCAGCATGTACATAAAAACACTGTGGCCTAACTTTACTCAGAAAAAATGGTTCAGGCTCAGCACTTAGAAGTAATTTCTTATAAATAACATACTATATGCAATTAATCCCTTTTTGGCACAATCTAAGACAGTGGCTCTCAACTTGTGGGTCCCCAGGTGTTTTGACCTACAACTCCCAGAAATCACAGACAGTTCACCAGCTGTTAAGATTTCTGGGAGTTGAAGGCCGAAACACCAGAGGACCCACAGGTTGAGAACCACTGATCTAAGACAAAGCTAAAGTTTATTAATTAGGGGTATATTAGTTGGACTGGATAGTCTTCCAACTTCATGATTCTGAGATATCTTAATTAGTAGGAGACAAATGTATTATTTAGCTGAGGTCTTGCAGTGCTACTACTGCCCTTTCTGACAGCCAGTCAGAGGCTAGTAGGAGAGATTGGAGAAGTATCTAGCCATATCCCTGATGTATACTGATGATATTGTTGACCAACAACCTCATGACAACCGGCTAAAACAGGTGGCATACACCAGTTACGCCCAGGTCACCCACAGAGCTTACTGTTGCACTCCAGAGCAGGATCCCCTCTGACTTTTAGCACCACACAGTTGAGTTATAATAGCAAGCAGTTTATTGAAGGTAATAAAAGTCAAAGCAATAAAAAGTAATCCACAGTAAAAGGTAAATCCAATTGATTAGGAAGTAAAAGGAGCAATTAGAACAAAGAGAAATAGTCAAAAGAAGTCCATGAAACTAGAGGCTTGATTTCAAAGGCAAAATAACAGCAAAGGCACTTAAAACAGAGATCAAACAAAGACAAAGAGGTCTGACCTCATAACCTCTGAGGATGCCTGCCATAGAGGCAGGCAAAACGTCAGGAGAGAATGCTTTTAGAACATAGCCATACAGCCCGAAAAAACCTACAACAACCCAGAATAACTGGGTTGCTGTGAGTTTTCCAGACTATATGGCCATGTTCTAGAAGCATTATCTCCTGACGTTTTGCCTGCCTCTATGGCAGGCATCCTCAGAGGTTGTGAGGTCTGTTTGAAACTAGGAAAATTGGGTTTATATATCTGCGGAAACTCCAGGGTGGGAGAAAGAACTCTTGTCTATTGGAGCTAGGTGTGAATGTTTCAATTGACCACCTGGATTAGCATTTGATGGCATGACAGTTTTTAGGTGTGGCTAGTTCTTGCCTGGGGGAATCCTTTGTTGAGAGGTGATTAGTTGTTCCTGATTGTTTCTTGTCTGGAGTTCCCCTGTGTCTGAGTGTTGCTCTTTATTTAGTGTCCTGATTTTAGAGTGTTCGAATACTGGTAGCCAGATTTTGTTTATTTTCATGGTTTCCTCCTTTTTGTTGAAGTTGTCCACATGCTTGTGGATTTCAATGGCTTCTCTGTGTAGCCTGACATGGTGGTTGTTAGAGTGGTCCAGCATTTCTGTGTTCTCAAATAATATGCTGTGTCCAGGATGGTTCATCAGGTGCTCTGCTATGGCTGACTTCTCTGGTTGAGTTAGTCTGTAGTGCCTTTCATGATCCTTGATTCATGTTTGGGCAATGCTGCGTTTGGTGGTCCCTATGTAGACTCGTCCAAAGCTGCATGGTATACGGTAGACTCCTGCAGAGGTGAGGAAGAACTCCTTCCAGAGCTCTTCCACACAAATTTAAAAAACAGGGTGAAACTTTTGCTCAAATATCAATGGTTAAGGTTCCCTCAGGCTGTCTGAACATTCATATACCATTTTTAACAACAGTGGCAGGAAGAGGGAGATGAAAAAAGTTGTATGTGATGTCTAATCATCATTCTTATCCTATGGCACTTTAGACAATTGGCCAATTATCAGGTCTTTTCCATGTCTTTGCTCAATATTAGTACTGACTACATGAGTGTGCATGCCTTTTTCATGGCAAAAATATTTTTTAAACCACATTAAAACTGTAGGAAGAAATACAGCTGCCAACAGCTGTTTACCAACAGCTGTTTGGTTTACCTCCTCCATTTGCTATTCTTGTTCTGCCCTAACCAGTATATCTCAAATTCCCACATATCCATCCCTTATGCAGCCTCCTAAGATTGATTCTGAGAACATTTCCTATAATAATACGCTAACTTCCATCTCTTTCCAAGGGTGACTCTGGCGGCCCCCTAGTTTGCAAACTCAATGAGATTTGGAACCTGGCTGGGGTTGTGAGTTGGGGAGACGGCTGTGCCAGGATCAACCGTACTGGTGTCTACACGTCGGTGATTTATTACGCTAATTGGATCAAAGCAACAATGAATGATGGACCAACGAACACCCCTACTATGACATTTCTCTTGATCTCTCTTGCAGTAGGCCTCTTGTGAGATACCCAACTCTGTGTCTTCAGTCTGTATGTATGTATGAATTATGTAAAGTGTTGAACTCGCTTAAATATTGCACAAAATCACTGCAAAATAAAGGAAAGAGTTCCTGGGAACCTTTTCTGTGCTTCTTTCTGATTAATTTAGGTCAATTTACATTACCCATGGCGTTTAAACAGTTCCAAAGTGATTTGCTAGTTGTTTCACTGCAATGCCTTACTCCAACCAACCACTCAAAGATAAAGGACTGACACAGAGTGTGTGTGTTGTAATTCAGCTCAAGAGGAAAGACACTGGCTTATGAGAAACAACGTAAGTGTGCTTTATTATAGGAAATCTATCCAAGAATAGTATGCTAGTGGGGAGGTGGCAGGAAGAAGATTGGCTGAGAAAATGAAGGCATACCTGAAGATCCTTTCACACTACAGTTACATCACTGTGATTCTACTGAAACTACTTGGGCAACTTCCAGTGGAATCCCTGGGTTTGCAGTTTAGGGTTAGGTATTTACAAATCACAGCAAAAGAGATAAACAGATAAACAAAAGGGAAAGGACCAGTCATTTTATCACATTGGAGCAATGAAATGTTTGGCTAAGCAGTGCTCCATTTTTCAATGAAACCGATGATTTCCCTATCTTCATCACACAGTTAAATGTATCCATGCAACTCAGTAGTATTCATCATTCTTTTAGTTTATTTGTCATCACATTATATTTACGACTTCACTGATTGCCTTAACTATATAACTCTACCACAACTGTCCTGGTAAGCGTTCTCAGTTGTGTGAAGTGTGGTGGCTCTGTTCAAAAGTGGCAACACATCCTTTCAAGACCATCTGAACAATGTATGCTGCAGCCCTCCAGAATAGCTCAAAATGTCAATGCGCAGAGGTTTAAATCCCAATATGCATCAACTTTGTTTCAAATAAGCCTATGGCCTCTAATGTATAGGCTGATTCTAAACCTTTCAAAGCTTCACTCAGCTTTTGTGGCAGAGACTTGTTTGCAAGTACCTTTTTCTGTTCTTTTCACAAAAATTGGAATGTGTATGGTATAATAATTTCAGTGTTGGACTTGGGCTCTGGGAAGTCCCTGCTCAGCCATGGAAACCATTTAGTGATCTTGAAAAAGTAGAAAATTGCAAGCCTGCTCTAGATAAATCTTACCAAGAAATCCCTATGATAGATTCACTCAAATTTGTTTTGTAAAGTAATTAATTCTGGTTATTCCTTACGGTGATTTTAAAAATTATTACTTGTTGTATTGTTCAAGATTTATTTTTTTATTACTGTTTTGTGACCTCTCATTATTTGTTTTAGATATTTTTGTTGTTTTCCAAAACAAATGGGAAGTAATGCAACTCTTTAATTGCCTTACTTATTTGATGAAGGGGATAAGAGAATGGCACAAAATTCATGTCAAAATGTCTTTGAAGATAAAAAAAAAAACCAAGAGGAACATTTGACTTGTGATATCAATAAAGTGGTTTCATTCTCACTCTTTGGTGTTATTTTAGAAATGTAACTTCTCCACATTTTCCCCAAAAAGTCACTCATTACAGATACCTATATTACTTCTGTGTTTTTAATTACTGTACAGCTAATTAAATTACTTTTTGAGATTACAGTAGAGTCTCGCTTATCCAACCTTTGTTCATCCAACCTTCTGTATTATCCATCGCAGCCTGCCTCCCGCCTGGAACCACAGCTGTTTCAATACATTGCGATGTTTGGGTGCTAAATTCGTAAATACAGGAATTACTACATAACTTTACCATGTATTAAACTACTTTTTCTGTCGTTTTGTTGTAAAACATGATGTTTTGATTCTTAATTTGTAAAATAATAATGTAAGTTGACATTTACTAGGCTTTTCCTTAATCCCTCCTTATTATCCAACATTTTCGCTTATCCAACATTCTGCCAGTCCATTTATGTTGGATAAGCAAGAGTCTACTTCAAGTGCATTCATGCAGTCACTGTCTCTATGTCAACATGAAACAGTGGTGAAAGCATTGGACTATGACTCTGGAGACCAAAGTTCACTTGACCATTACACTCTTTACCCAGTATTGCACCACCTGACATCCTCCAGGAAGTAGTAACCAATAGTGGAAGGACCAAGGCAGTGACTTCTCCAGCCCATGCCCTATTCGGATATCAGCCAGCATGCCAATGACTTAAATAAAGAAATAGTTTTCTAAGATCTACAGAGAGTCCAAAATTGGCAGGCTAATACCAAATGAGAGACTCCCTCCTGGGCACACAAAAAACTGGGCGACTTGGAAGGTGCTGAACAGACTATGCTCTGGCACCATGAGATGCAGAGCAAACCTTAAGATTCAGAGCACCATGAGATGGCACCATGAGATGCAGAGCCAACCTTAAGATGTAGCCTCATTAAGAAATGAGGCTACAAAGTGGAATCCACGATATGCGTGTGTGGAGAAGACTGTGTGCATGTGGCAGCCTGAGCCCTGCCACATGCACAATGCAGGACCTTCTTATAGCAACTTTGTGGAAGGTTTTGTTTTGGTTTGGTTTATTAAAAAAATACAATACAACTGTCTGGTTTGCTCCTGATACGATAAATAAAAAAAAAAACCTGGCCATGAAAACCTACGTAGTGACTTTGGGCAAGCCACAATCTCTCAGCTTCAGATGAAGTCAAAGGCAAATCTCCACTGAACAAATATTAGCAATAAAACTCTCTGATAGCCTTAACATCACGGAAACAACTTGAAGGCACACAAGAATGATTTCTTTTTACTTGAGGCACCATCTGCTGGTCCATCTGGAAACTGCAACTGAAAGAAGACAGAACGGGGATATGAAGAATTCTTGCCAGTTTTCTTGAATAAACTAAGACACCTCATCAAGAAAATAATCAATTGATACTTTCACATTTGGTGACTTTTTGTGAAAAGTTTAATTAACACAAGAAAAGCACTTCAGTGGGAAAAGTTCACATTTCAACATGCAAAATACAATGTTTTATGGGAAGGAAAGTTTGCTTTTCCATAAAAGAGAAAGTTTTTTTTTCATAAACATTTGCAAAAATTCCCAAAGTGTAATCACTGACAAACACATTACAACTCATATAATGCTGCCTAGTATAATGAGAGCCTCTTAAATTTTTGCGGGCAATGACGTAAGGAAAGATTTCCATCCAAGCTGGGGCTCTAGAAGCACTTGCCATTACTGGCTGCACACAATGACTTGAAGATATATGCAACACCTAACAACACCACTCATCACAGAAGAGAATGAATCCACTTCATAGAATCACAGAATCATAGAATCAAAGAGTTGGAAGAGACCTCATGGCCCATCCAGTCCAACCCCCTGCCAAGAAGCAGGAATATTGCGTTCAAATCACCCCTGACAGATGGTCATCCAGCCTCTGTTTAAAAGCTTCCAAAGAAGGAGCCTCCACCACACTCCGGGGCAGAGAGTTCCACTGCTGAACAGCTCTCAAAGTCAGGAAGTTCTTCCTCATGTTCAGATGGAATCTCCTTTCTTGTAGTTTGAAGCCATTGTTTTGTGTCCTAGTCTCCAGGGCAGCAGAAAACAAGCTTGCTCCCTCCTCCCTGTGACTTCCTCTCACATATTTATTCATGGCTATCATATCTCCTCTCAGCCTTCTCTTCTTCAGGCTAAACATGCTTCAAATCCGGTTGCTGGCACCTGAAGAATTCTGGGGTTTATAGTTTAGGGAAGAGCCTTTAACAGCCTCAGTAAACTACAAACCCCAGAATTCTGCAGGAGGCAGAAACCAGATTAAAGTGGATTCATTCTCTTCTGTAATAAAGTAGTATGTTATGATCAATTGTCAGCTGTGTATATTAGTGAAAATGTCACACAAAATATGCAGATTTGGTGAGGGGATGCAAATGTTCATAATCGAGATAGCACGTCAAAAGTCCTTCAGAAGGTGACCAAGCTTTCACATCCAGGTGTCAAATGCCAAAAGTGGTCCCTCTTTGGAAAATACAGAGGCTCAACCAACTTTCTTATGAAGGCAGGGTGAGTCACACAAGAGTGTTGCTCAGGATCAACAGAAGGGGCAAAAGGAAGAATGTAGCGCAACTGGCATGACTCCAGGGGGCTGCGTTCTGTGCCACAGTATCCTGAATCCAATCCATGAAAGAGGAGGTGCGTGTGTAGACACCAGGTTGAAAGGGGTTCCCACATCCAGCCCCAAAACTTGTTACTCCAGCCAAGAACCATGTGTTATCCAGTTTGCAAGATAAAGGTCCCCCTGAGTCACCCTAAAAGGGGAAAGAGAACGGGGACATAACGAAAGATGGAATTAAAAGCAACACTGCAGACATTTTTTTTACTACACAGTGTAACCAACAGAGTATACAATACAGGGTGTAAAACATAATGCAAAAGATAAAATAGAATGTGTCTGTATATATTATTGAGAAACTAGTAGCAGCCTAAATCTGGCCAAAATGCCTATTCAAATATTAAAAAGCTAAGAGATGAGAACACTTGCGTATCTATCAACACTGCTGGAGAGGTTGTGGGTTGGATTTTGGGTGGGTGGTGAGTTTAAAATGCATTTTTATTGTCTTTATTGTATTTTAACTTTATATCCACACAATGATATTTAATTGTTTTTTATTTATTTATTTTGTTTTTCATTTGTATTAGATTGGGTGGATGTTGGCCACCTTGAATCCCTATCAGGAGAAAGGTGAGATATAAACAAAGTTAATTCTAATGCTAATGCCCATCATCATCATCACCAAGAAGATGTAGTGGCTGATAAAACTCGGATGGTGGGCAAACATTCTGTACTGCAAGTGTCAGCATATCTTCAGATCTGGGTCCTGATTGGATATCATACACAAGAGATAGCATATGAAATCAGTTCCTTTGATTGTATTTCTTTTGATTTGATAGTTGAAAGCTACAGATAATAACATGAATTCAGATAAACTTAGCAGGTATACTGCCTGTAGTAGAACAACATTCCTAACAGTTATGCTGTTCTTCATAGGTAATAAACTGCCCAGACATACTGAAAGATAATACACATACAAAGCATCTAAGGTAAAGGTAAAAGTTTCCCCTGACATTAAGTATAGTCGTGTCTGACTCTGGGGGGTGGTGCTCATCTCCATTTCTAAACTGAACAGCTGGCGTTGTCCGTAGAAGCCTCCAAGGTCATGTGGCAGGAATGACTGCATGGAGTGCCATTACCTTCCCGCCAAAGTGGTACCTATTGATCTACTCACATTTGCATGTTTTCAATCTGCTAGGTTGGCAGAAGCTGGGGATAACAGTGGGAGCTCACCCCACTTCCCGGATTTGAACTGGCAACTTTTTGGTCAGCAGTTCAGCAGCTCAGCGCTTTAACTCACTGTGCCACCAGGGGCTATAGGTTAGGCATCTAGGTTATTCTAAAATAAATACACACCCCATTATGGCTGCAAAGGATGCTTATGAATGCAGTGGATGCTTGTAGGATTTAACAATGATAAAGCAGATTAGCCATGGATGCCTGTGTGTTCATAAATGCCTGTTTAGCTATGTATAGCTACTAAAAAAGACATATATAATGAATAAGGAGTAAAATTATATTGTTTAGGATAGTAACACACCCCTCTGTATTAATGACTAATAATACAACTTGCCATATCATAGGTAAGAAAATAATTTGATGCGTACCTGACAAGTGTCCTTCTTTCCTTCGGGATCCCCAGCACAAATCATGTCTTTATAAATCAGGGTGTAGTTCTCTGGAACAGCAAATGGGCTTGATTGATTCTGGAATTTTTCATTACACTCCTCAATATCTACAATCTGTATCTCAGTCTCCTGCAGTGTGCGAGCTACAAGTTCCTGTCCTGGCAGAAGAAAAGAAAAAGAAAACAGAGATAGGGCACAGATTTATTTTCTGTCGAAACATGAATTGGTTGTTTACCCCCTATTGACTCTCCAAAAATCAGAAAAACTAATTCTGTGAGAATATTCTGTTATCTCTAAGTTTGGAAACAATACCGTTTGGAACTCCACTACCCAACATTGAGTGCCTATGCTGAGCAGGGGGGTTGTGGCTTATAGTCCAAAATGTAACCTTTCCTAGCTCTAGATCATAGTTATTTTGTTTGGAATACAACTTGTGATAGTTGGACAAGTTCTGAAGCAAGCATCATCCCTCAGAAATGTTATTTCATGACATGGAATCAACATGTTTTGTAATTTAAAGTATAAAAGAGAAATATCATTGAACCATAAGGTTATCAAGGAGTGCTGGTAGTGAAAGCTAATTCAAATTAGTTCAAGTTACTTTTTAGGATTACAACTTCAAGAATCCCAAATTCAGCATAGCCATGCTGAGAGTTATATCAAAACCTAATTTTTCCAAACTCTGTTCTCTTCCTTCTGGCACTTAGAGCACCAAAAGCACAACACTTTTCATGAATTACAAAAACAAATTTTTGCTACCTTCAATGAAGACTCCCCAGCCGGTAGTAGAGCAGGTCATCCCTGAAGAAAAACGGTCGGAGTCTGAAGAATTTGGAAGGCAGATTGGCATTATTGTTTGGGAAAACTGAACAGGCTCTTCCAGCTTCATCAGGGCAATGTCAGCACTAAGACCGGATCCAGCATAATACGGGTGCACTATGATTTGGCTGATGGAGGCTGAGACCATACTGGCAAATGGTCTGGGAAGTTCATATTCTCCTAGATTTGCTTTGTACTCAGCTGGATTCAGTGGCCTGCAAGAAACAAGGAAGAAGAAGCATCTAACCCACTGTCAGGACCAGAGTTCAAATCCTTGACCAGGATTTGGCAGGAAATTTTGGAAAAGAACTGGTGTACTGAATGTAGCTGTGTGGCAGCACACTTGGCATTTGACATATCTTGACAATAGCACTAATCATGATGGGCGTCTTGTTTTACCATCACCTGAATGTTTGCTGAACAAATATTATCTCAGTGACAGATGTATATTATAAAATTATTGAGTTGGAAGAGACCTCGAGGGCAATCCAGTCCAACCCACTTCCAAGAAGCAGGAAAATTGCATTCATTTATTTATTTGCTATACTTGTATACCGCCGTTTCTCAGCCTAGCCGGCGACTCAACGCGGTTTACAACAACTTATAACAAACAACAGTATACAGTTTAAAAACATAAAAACACAATCCACAATACATATATCAATAAACAATCCAATTCATCTCTTGACTAAAATCGCGATCCAGTTTCGTCGTCCAATTTGCCAGTCCTTCAATCATTACACTTATTGCACTGAGTTAACCGAACGCCTGCTCGAACATCCAGGTTTTTAGTCTTTTCCGGAATACCATCAATGAGGGGGCTGATCTTACCTCCATGGGGAGGGCGTTCCATAGCCGCGGGGCCACCACAGAAAAGGCCCTGTCTCTCGTCCCCGCCAGCCGCACCTGTGAAGCAGGCGGGATAGAGAGCAGGGCCCCCCCCCAGAAGATCTTAGGGTCCTGGTGGGCTGATAGGCAGAGATACGTTCGGATAGGTAACTTGGGCCAGAACCGTTTAGGGCTTTAAAGGCCAACGCCAGCACTTTGAATTGAGCCCGGTAGCAGATCGGCAGCCAGTGGAGCTGGCGCAGCAGAGGAGTGGTATGCTCCCTGCGCTCCGCTCCTGTTAGTATCATGGCTGCCGAACGTTGGACTAATTGATGGGGTTCAGAATGCTCTGTGATTGTAGGTGTGCTATAACATATCGGCAGCCAGTGGAGCTGGTGCAGCAGAGGAGTTGTATGCTCCCTGCGCTCCGCTCCCATTAGTATCATGGCTGCCGAGCGTTGGACTAATTGGAGCTTCCGGGCCGTTTTCAAAGGCAACCCCACGTAGAGAGCGTTGCAGTAGTCCAATAAATGCAAGAAATAAATAAATAAATAAATAAATAAACCCCACGTAGAGAGCGTTGCAGTAGTCTAAACGGGATGTAACCAGAGCGTGGACTACCGTGGCCAAGTCAGACTTCCCAAGGTACGGGCGCAGTTGGCGCACGAATTTTAACTGTGCGAATGCTCCCCTGGTCACCGCTGAAACCTGGGGTTCCAGGCTCAACGATGAGTCCAGGATCACACCCAAACTGCGAACCTGTGTCTTCAGGGGGAGTGCGACCCCATCCAACACAGGCTGTAACCCTATACCCTGTTCGGCCTTACGACTAACCAGGAGTACCTCTGTCTTGTCTGGATTCAATTTCAATTTGTTTGCCCTCATCCAGACCGTCACAGCGGCCAAGCACCGGTTCAGGACCTCGACAGCCTCCTTAGTAGCAGGTGGAAAGGAGTGACAGAGTTGGACATCATCCGCGTACAGATGACATCGCACTCCGAAACTCCGGATGATCTCCCCAGCGGCTTCATGTAGATGTTAAACAACATGGGAGACAGTATTGAACCCTGAGGAACCCCACAAGACAAAGGTTGTGGGGTTGAACAGGAGTCTCCCAGTAACACCTTCTGAGACCGGACCCTCGAGGAATGAGCGGAGCCACTGTAAAACAGTCCCTCCAAGACCCATTCCCGCGAGGCGTCCCAGAAGGATACCGTGGTCGACGGTATCGAAGGCCGCTGAGAGGTCCAGCAGCACCAACAGGGACACACTCCCCCTGTCGAGCTCCCGGCGCAGATCATCCACTAAGGCGACCAAGGCTGTCTCGGTACCATGTCCCGGCCTAAAGCCAGACTGTGCCGGATCCAGATAATCCGTGTCTACCAAGAATACCTGGAGTTGTGAGGCCACCACACGTTCCAGGACTTTGCCCAAAAAGGGGAGATTGGAAACAGGCCGATAGTTGACGAATTGAGTGGGGTCCAGTGATGGTTTCTTCAACAGCGGTTTTATTACAGCTTGCTTTAAGCTGGCTGGAATTTTGCCTTCCCGAAGGGAGGCATTAACCACCACCTTCACCCACTCGGCCAATCCCCCTCTGGCCTCCTTCAGAAGCCAGGATGGGCAGGGGTCTAGGATGCATGTGGTAGCTCTCATTCCTCCAAGCACCTTGTCCACATCCTCGGATTGAACCAATTGAAATGAATCCATCAAAACCGGACAAGCAGATGCTCGTGTTACATCCTCAGAGACTGCCGTTAATATGGTATCCAGACCACAGCGGATCAAAGCGACTTTGTCTGCAAAGAACTGAGCAAAGGCTTCACAGCGAACTGCCGAGTCATCAGGGCACCCATCCTGATGGTGGGTTTTAAAAGGCCTCTGACAACTCGGAACAGTTCAGCCGGACGGTTCTTTGCAGACGCAATAGTGGCCGCAAAGAAAGTCTTCTTTGCGGCTTTTATTGCCGCGGCATATGCCCTTAAAAAGGACACAAACTGTGTTCGATTTGGCTCGCTCGGATCCGAACGCCACACGCTCTCTAGTTCCCTCTTCTTTCGCTTCAACGCTGCCAGCTCCTCGGTGAACCAAGGAGCTGGTTTACTCGGCTACTTGAGAGGGGACGTTCTGGAGCGATCGTGTCTATTGCCCTAGTCATCTCCCCATTCCAGAGAGCGACCAGAGCATCAACAGGATCACCAACCGAGGTGGCGGGAAATTCCCCAAGAGCCATCAGGAATCCATCCGGATCCATAAGCCTCCTGGGGCGGACCAACTTAATGGGTCCTCCACCTCTGCAGAGGTTAGGGGGTGCAGTTAGTCTAAAGCTGACCAGGTGGTGGTCGGTCCATGGCAACGGAGAGATGGATAACTCCTCAACACCGCCACCTTCCTCCCATTCCTGGCAGAAAACCAAGTCCAATGTGTGTCCACCACTGTGGGTGGGGCCAGATACCTGTTGGGACAGCCCCATGGTTGTCATGGCAGACATGAAGTCCTGAGCCGCTCCCGATAAGGCGGTCTCGGCGTGGACATTGAAGTCCCTCAGCACAAGCAGCCGCTGGGACTCCAATGCCAGGTCCGAGACCACTCCCGCTAGCTCAGTCAGGGAGTCTGTAGTGCAGCGAGGTGGACGGTACACTAACAGAATCCCTAATCTGTCCCGGTCACCCACCCTCAGGTGGACGCATTCAAAATTTGTTGACTGCGGGATGGGGGCCCTGGTCAGAAGAATGGAATCTCTATAGACCACTGCAACCCCGCCTCCCCGCCCTCAGGATCTTGGCTGGTGCTGCACAGAGAAACCTGGCGGGCAAAGCTGGGTCAGATTCACACCTCCAGCTTCGTCCAGCCAGGTCTCTGTGATGCACGCCAGATCTGCCCGTTCATCCAGGATTAAATCCTGGATGAAGGCTGTTTTGCCATTGACAGATCTGGCGTTCAACAGCACCACCTTCAATCCGGAGGGACCGCCATCCTGGTTACACCAATTTACCGTATCGGGAGACCGATTTGGAATTACTAAAGTTGTTGTACGGTCCCTAGGCCGAATTCGGGGTCTCCTTTTCCCGTATCCCCCCTCCCCACCACGACTTCTATGGGGGCTCCCCGACCAACGGAACACCTTCCCTCCTCCATGACGCAATTCACATCCATAATTTCACCCCATGCTTCGCTGCTGGTTATCTGATTTGTTACCGATACAATTCGTTCTAGTTTTCCCTTCCATTCATTTCTTACCCGGACTTTGCTATTTCCAGAAATCTCCGATTCACTCCCCTCCTTACCTCCCCCACAAATAATTAACAAAAGGGTTAGCAAGTACCAGGGGATCGGGAGCAGCATGAATGGTGGGTGGGTGGTAAACACAATCAACAAAGCTACCAAAGTTCTTAAAGTGCAGCAGGTAGTTGTATCAACCTCACAGTTCTTAAAGTGCAATAGATAGATGTTAAGCACTATCAATAGCGTTACCAAGTTCTTAAAGTGCAACAGGTAGTTGTATCACCCTCACAGTTCTTAAAGTGCAGTAGGTGAGTGTTAAACACTATCAATAGAGCTACCAAGTTTTTAAAGTGCAGCAGGTAGTTGTATCAACCTCACAGTTCTTAAAGTGCGATAGGTTTAACAAGATTGTTCTAAAGTGCTACAATAAGGTGCGTCATGGAGGACTGCTGATTTAAGTGCTAGAAGACTAGAACACTGGGTTAAAGTGCTAAGTTGAGCAGGGTAATGGACCAATACAGTACAAATAGCAATTTAAAGTGCTGGAAAATTAAAGTGCTGAGAGATTAAAGTGTTGGAATTATGCAGATTAACCGCAGCACTCGGTATGTTGACAAAGATATTAAGGCAAACAGTTACAGGACAATAGACGACAGAAAGCGGATCCAGGGGTGGATGATATTGGTCCTTCCGGGACTAAAATTAACGTCCGCGGTGGTGGTCGTTGGCCACAGCCGGACAGTCCGATGGTAAGGGATGGCCAACACAGATGGACGACACAGATGGACAGCACAAAAGATCGAGCAGCACAACGGTCGACACAGTAGATGATTAACTGGTCAACACACGTCAGGCAGCCTGAGTTGGACAACACAGCATTCTCCACAACAAATTGAACAACACAAACGGTCGGCACAGAAGATGGTTAATTGGTCAACACACAATTAGGCAGTCTGAGTCGGTCAGCACAGCAATAGCACGGCGTCGGTAGCATACAAGTCCACTAGGCCGCGCCCGGGCTCCGACCCAGAACCAGGCCGGCCTGGGGCCGGCTTCCCCAAGGGGGAAACGGCACACAAGCCGGAGTGCCCAGGCGTCCGAAAGGGCGGCGAGAGATGGTAGGCACCAACCCCGTTCGGAGCTCTGACGCTGCCGAGCAACCAAACGGCGCCACCGCCGATGCCGTATGTGGTCGAGCAGGGAATGATGGAAGGCCGCTAAAAGTTGAGCGGCGACCCCGCCAAATAGCCAAGAGCTCTGCTAGGCGAGAAAACGCAGAGGGGCACAAGGCTGGTAAGCGTCCCCGCTTCAGGCCCGCAGGGGCCAGCCCAGGCCGCAGGGAGCCGCCGCAGTAGCCGCGCCGCGCCCCAAAATGGCAGCCGCGTACTCAGGCCTAGCTGGTAATGGGCCTCGCTCCACTCCTCTTTCGAGCCGAGGACCGGCCCACGCGGCCGTAGTAGCCGGGGCAGCCAAGGTGTCTGCGGCTGCAGCTGGAAAAAAGCCGGCGTGGCTGGAGGAGCCGGCGCGGCCGCAGCTGGAGGAAGCTGGCGCGGCTGGAAGAAGCCGGCTGGAAGAAGTCGGCGCGACCGAGGCAGCCGGGTGTCTGCGGCTGCAGCTGGGAGACGCTGGAAGACGCCAACGCGATAGAGAGTTGGTCGACCCGCTGAGCAGTTGAGCAGTTGAGCAGCCAAACAGAACCTCCACTTCTCCGTCAGGTCAGATGATAATAATTATTGAAAGACCGGAGACTGGAGGGTATAGGAGGTCCGGAGAGGGTCCAAAGAGGGGTCCAAACGGCGAGGGATAGGATGTTTGGGGCCGACAATGGCGGCGGCCCGGTTGTCTTTCTCCTTTCCTCCTCTTCCCCCGTTTGCTCACCTTCTTCTCCGGCGTTCCCCAAAATAGATCCCTGAGATCACTTTCGTGACCCAGGGATTGTTGTCTGTATGGGGGGACGACTTGCGGGAATCCAGAAGGGAAAATTGACCCAGAATAGGCTGGATTGTGAGCCCTCTCTTTTCCCGTGCAGAAGGTTCGCTGCTTACCACGCCGCCATCATACCGGAAGTATAAAAACACCAAAGGGCTTGTTTTCTTGAAAATGTCACTGAAATGCAAAGATACAGAATGGGGGATGCCTGGCTTGACAGCAGTATGTGTAGAAAAGACCTTGGAGTCCTTGTGGACAAGTTAAACATGAACCAACAATGTGATGTGGCGGCTAAAAAAGCCAATAGGATTTGGGCCTGCGTAAATAAGAGTATCTAGATCCAGGGAAGTTATGCTACCCCTCTATTCTGCCTTGATCAGACCACACCTGGAATCACACTGTGTCCAATTCTTGGCACCGCAATTGAAGGGAGATGTTGACAAGCTGAAATGTGTCTAGAGGAGGGTGAATAAAATGATCAAGGGTCTGGAGAACAGGCCCTATGAGGAGTAGCTTAAAGAGCTGGGCATGTTTAGCCTGCAGAAGAGAAGGCTGAGGGGAGACATGATGATGGCCATGTATAAATATGTGAGGGGAAGTCATAGAGAGGAGGAAGCAAGCTTGTTTTCTGCTGCCCTGGAGACCAGGACGCGGAACAATGGATCAAACTACAAGAAAGGAGATTCCACCTGAACATGAGGAAGAACTTCCTAACTGTGAGAGCTGTTCAGCAGTGGAACTCTCTGCCCCAGAGTGTGGTGGAGGCTTCTTCTTTGTAGGTTTTTAAGAAGAGGCTGGATGGCCAACTGTCAGGGGTGTTTTGAATGCAATTTTCCTGCTTCATGGCAAGGGGTTAGACTGGATGGCCCACAAGGTCTCTTCCAACTCTATGATTCTATGATTCTATGTGTGGACAACCATGGGATGCTAGGGGCCTACATTAGCCTCCAAGGAGAACTTGGAAGGCCACGGACGCTCATGTCGCTAAATGCTTTGTATGGATATGGGACAATTTGCCATGTTTGTAGCCCCCTGAACCATTCTAGGCCACAGAGAGACCTTTTTAAATAAATAAATAAATAAAAACAAGAGGCAGCGTTTTCCTGTCCCTAATAAAGACATGTCCTGGGACATCTGAGACCAAAAACATGAGGAAATTACCCTGTATGGCCCCAGAGAACATCAAGGACATTTGCTGGCAAACTAATGTTGAAAGTGCAAACAAATCAAAATGCACCCAGCCAACATAGCAAACATTATTATGTGTCTGGGGAATGACTGAGGTCAACTCAAGAAAGGCGAGAAGAGAAATAATATTAACACCAAGAAAACAGTATGAATCAGCAGAAACTTGAAAGAAATGCTAGTTTGTGTAGGTGGAGTGTGAGAACAAAGAGATGGATAATACCTTGTTGTTACTTGCTTCTCAGCTTCAAGGAAACTCGAGGAATGCACAGTGTTTTTGCATTCATACATCCTTAAATGTTTCCGTAAATTATTTTGGGTAGAAGCATAAATAGGTTTGTCATGCAAAAAAATGTACTATTTTGGGGCTGGAGGGATTTTTGTGCAAAGAGGATGTTTGTACACAAAAATATCAATTCTGCTTGAATTCTGCTTTAAAGCAAAAACACATTTTCCAAGGCATTTTTTGTGCAAAAGCCACTAATTTTGCACATAAGCAGGGGCTACGCTGACTAAGGCTAAAGGGAGTTCCCAACGCAGTGGACTAGGAGGAAGATATCACTTTATAAATTTAAAATGTAAGTCAGATCATGTCAGATCACTATTGACTTAATTGTTGCAGAGGTGGTCAAAGCAGTGTGTGTGTTAATAATATGCTCTTTTCTACTTACCCTTCAAAGCAATGAGCAGCGGTTACCACCCACTGGTTTGAAATCAAGCTCCCACCACATAAATGTTCTCTGTTTTTCCGCAGGCTAACTTGCCACGGCCATGCCCCTACTTTGGCTTTACTGCCCCCAATGATCCGAGCAGAGGCCACTTGGGGTTGGCCACAGACTGCAAAAGAATTGGGTGAAGTATAAGAAACATGGGACAGAGCAGAGGTAATATTAGGAAAAATCAGCTTTGGTATAGCAAAGTCAAGAAAATCCGGGTCACACCTAGATATTTTTTATCTTCACAGGAATAATAATAATAATAATAATAATAATAATAATAATAATAATAATAATAACGTACTTTATTTATATTCTGCTCTATCTCCCCGATGGGACTCAGAATTTTCATTCTGGCATCTGGAGACTGTGCTCAACTCAGCCATGGAGAGGTGCTGTTGTTCCATTTTTCCACGCCGAATAACCTGTTGTCCATAGACACCTTTTTCCTGATCTAATTGCCAACATGTCTTCAGGGGCAACTTTTACATCCCCACTAAAGCAGTATCTATTTATCTACTCACATTGCTGTTTTCGAACTGCTAGGTGAGCAGAAGCTAGGGCTGCCGGCAGGAGCTCACCTCACCTGCAGTTTGAACTGCCAGCCTTCCTGTTGGCAAGATTTTCTGTAGCTGGTGGTTTAACCCGCTGTGCTAACCATGGCACCCAGGATTTTTGTGAGTTTTGTGCATGCATATAAAATGCAAGATTGTGCATTTTCTCTGTAGGACTAGAAAGAAGTCCCAGAAAGGGACTGCAAAAGAATAAAGGTGATCAATTAGCACCAGTGTTGAATCACTTGTCAGACAGATAGGTAGATAAACTACAGTGTTTATGTTCCATTTAAAAATGTCCTTAGATGGGCAGACAAGTTCCATTGTTCACATTCTAGTTCTACCTGTATTTGGAACAGACTGGGTGTATTTTTGGCATGCAGTTTTAAAAAATACCTAGAATTTCTGAACTAATCTAAATGTTGTGATAGTGCCATTTTAAATCAGAGTGCTTTTTAATTTGTTTGCAAAAAGTTGAATCCACACAACACATAGGTTACCAAGATAAATCAGAGCAACTGTGATAATGAATTGACAGAGGAAAAGGATAGTGTTTCAGAGGGTTTCAGAGGGGTTGCCAAAACAGAAAACAGATATTTCTGATGGTCTTAGGAACCCCTTTGGCAGAGAAGGCTGAAGATCTCTCCCCCTGTCCTTCTCTTTCTTTTTGGAAACAAGCAGCAAATCCTCCCACCAAAAGCCTACCTCCGCTGTGATTGGCCAGCCTCTCAGCCAAGGGGAGAGCTGCTTCTGAGACTCCAAACAGGGAGGGGAGAGCAGGTGTGCTCAGCGCATGGCAGCATGGTGCACATGTGCAGGTGAGAGAGAGCATGTGAAGCTGGAGAGAGGATCATGCTAGCGAGTCCCTTCAAGGTAGGGCCTGTGCTGGTACAGCTGTACCAGAAGCTCCCACTTTATTTGCCTTGTATTAAGTGTTTGCTTGCAGCCCAAGGCTTGGGATTCTGCAGAAGGGTGGCTGGCTTCCTGTTAAAGTTTGCAGTTATAGGGCAAGCCCCCTGTCCATCATCATTAACTTTGGTTCCGCCCCTGTTCAGGACAATTGTGAAGGGAAGGGAGCCATTTTCAGTCAGTCTCAGCAAGGGAAGTCAATGTACAGGACGTGTACAGACTTTCTCCTGTACAAAGGCTTCAACCCTTAAGACCTCCCGGGGGAGAACAGTCTTTAGAGCATCTAAACATTCCCAAAGATTCGCAGGGAAACAGCCTTACAGCCCCGAGGAATTTCAGAGGGAATAACAGCTTTAAACATCCAGAACTCCACCTAAGTGACTACAGGCCTATTGGTAGGTCCACTCAGTTTTGAGACGCAGTTCATCCTGGTAGTGGATCCACATCAGTTAGGTTTAGGATCACAGTTAGTCTGGGAGAAGTTTGGAAAGGGATTTTCCTTTAAGAGTAAAGTAAGAGTTAGAAGCCACCAGTTGCACAAAAGCCTGGAAGTATTTGTCTAACCTTTTGAAGACAAAGGAAGTTTCTGTTGATTGTTCACCAATAAAGACTTTATTATATTTCACAAGCCCTCTGAAGACTGTTTGTGGTGAAAATCCTGAGAACTTCTCTTCGGGCCACCTGGCTTCCCGCTGGGCTAAAGTTGCACGTCTTGTTTTAAAAGCAATTCATTTCAAGCCCAGCGTGCGATAGAACAGGGCCAATTCTATCATTTGTGGGGTTCAGAATGCTCTTTGACTGTACGTGAACTATAAATCCCAGCAACTACAACTCACAAATGTCAAGGTCTATTTTCCCCAAACTGCACCAGTATTCACATTTGGGCATATTGAGAATTTGTGCCAAGTTTGGTCCAGATCCATCATTGTTTGAGTCCACAGTGCTCCCTGGATGTAGGTGAACTACAACTCCAAAACTCAAGGTCAATGCCCACCAAACCTTTCCAGTATTTTCTGTTGGTCATGGGAGTTCTGTGTGCCAAGTTTGGTTCAGTTCCATTTTGATGAAGTTGAAAATGCTCTTTAACTGTAGGTTAACTAGAAATCCCAGCAAATACAACTCCCCAATGACAAAATCAACCCCCCACCCCACCTCACCAGTATTCAAATTTGGGCGTATCTAATATTTGTGCCAAATTTGGGCGTATCGAGTATTTGTGCCAAATTTGGTACAGTGAATGAAAATACATCCTGCATATCAGATATTTGTATTACCATTCATAACAGTAGCAAAATTGCAGTAGCAACAAAAATAATGTTATGGTTGGGGGTCACCACAACATGAGGAACTGTATTAAAGGGTTGCGGCATTAGGAAGGTTGAGAAACACTGACATACAGAAACGAGTGCACTGGTACTGGGACATATAACTCAAGTGCAATTTGGAACAGATACAAGAATCTATTATGTATGTGGCATTACTCAATGCATAGATTTGTACATATAACAGAAACTTGTTTTGAAATTACTGGCTGGCTAGGATTCACAAACAAATTTGAACTCATGAGAGGGATCAATTCAAAACCTTAGCCTCTTCTACAGTTGATTGAAACCAACATGGTCACATTCACAGAGGGATTGTGTGAGATGTAGTGTGTATTTTTTTTAACTTTTCCAATCTCTAATCAAAACATGCAATGTTTTGATGAGGTGGAGTTTTGTGTGAGAGAGTTGTTATGCACTCAATATCCTGGCTGACAGATAGATTGGTAGATGATAACAGGAGTAGGAATGGTAATAGCATCCCTGCCTTTTCCCAGAGTTAGGACCCAAGATATCTTACAAAATAACCAAATGGGAATCAGACAAAAATAGCATTTTCCCCATAAATCCTCTTTGGAATCAGGTCCCATACTGTGGGGTAGCCTGTCCCTTGCCAAGAAACCTTTCTCACCTGTTTGAGCAGAACTATTTTCAGCACCTACAAGAGAAAGAGAGATGGAAGTCAAGGAATGGCACGTGCAACTGTGCATTTCTGCCTTACTCTCAAGCAACTGACCACATTCTATCAACAAGCACATAAATGCAAAATATAGTAATTGTGTGCCTCTTTCTGAGCAGTATCCAATTTAGGCAGATCACTGAAACCAACAAAGACTCACCCAAAAAATTCTCCTCAAGCACCATAATAGATCTGTGTGAAGTGTGACCATAAACGAAACTCCAATCTCACTAACATTATATCCAGAAACAAAAGAACAGTTACCCAACCCTCCCATGATGCATACAGAGGCAGAAACCATTTCATTCCAGGCTATGAATTTCTCGTGAAGCTTCTTCTACCACACAAGAAAGACCAGAAATCTGCACAGAATGGCCCTGAAAGGAGGAAACAATATTTTCCCAAATCTGTCATATGAACACATCTTAACTACACTTACACTACATCTTAACTATACTATACTGGCCCACTTCCAGGATTCCTGTTTGTACTCAGAATAGAAAAATACCATATTTGTGGATATTATAGATTCCATAGAATGCTAATATGTACCACCATAACATAATAACACTGGGAAAAGTATTTTATAACACTTCTGAAGTAAGGAAAGAAAAAGAATCATTGTGACAACAGCTATCAAGTTGTGGTTCAAAAGCAATCACATTTGGGTATTCTGTTTCCAGTCTTTTCAAAGCAAAACTTTCTTATTTCCTGACAGAAATTACAACTGGCAAAAAGGTTTTCAGGGCAGAAAATCGGAACAAAAAAAAATGGTTCCTAGAGGGTTCTCTAGATCAGAGCTTTCCAAACATTTCATGTTGGTAAGACACTTTTGAGACATGCTTCATTTTGTGACACAGTAATTCAGTTTTACTAGCAAACTGGAGGTTAAGCCAACCCCTTATAAGAAATATAGACAAATACATAAATAATATATGGGTACACAATACATCTCATGAAATTTTTCATTTATTTGTTCTAAAATATATGATTTCTTGCTTATTTCACATAGATTTCTTGTTCCATTCACATAATACATCTAAACACAGTTTGGAAAGCTCTGTTCTAGATCAAGGGAGAATTGAAGGTCTTCCAGCAGCCTCCAGATGCTGCTGGACTACAATTCCCAGAGTTCATCACTAGTGGCAATGCTGGCTAGGGCTGCTGAATCTTACAGTTCAACACAATCCACACAATTTCAAACTTCTGTTCTAGATTATCTTCAGTCACACAAATACACACTCTACTTTTCTGCCTGTAAAAAAAATATGGTGTTTACAAACAAGTTGCTCTTCTTTGCACACACTCACCCACTCAAGTGGCTCACCTCTTATCAATAGGAGAAACAGCACAATCGGAGCACAAAAGAAAGTCAGCATAGTCCCGGCTGCCCTGAATTAATCTGCCCTGATGCCAGCCGACTTGGAAAGCAAAAAAAGAGAATGCTGGCTTCCTTGATATGGCAAGACACTGTTTGGCACTGGCAGGACTGATACAGAATTTATAGAAAAGGAGTATTACTCAATACAAGAGAAGTTGTCAACTTAAGCCCTTAAAGATATTTGCCTCCCTACCACACCCTTGGGCATCTTATGCGTATCTGCCTACTTTCAAGGTTGGGAAGATGAGCCATTTCTACACCCACCTCTGTCTCTAGCAGGTTCGTGGTGGAAGGGTGGTTGGAGTCGAGTATGAGACAGAAGGAGAGAAAGAGAAAAGCCACTTTGGGTCTCCTTGTGGAGGGAAAAAGTGGGGTATAAATAAACATAATCATAATAAGAATATTATAGTACTTCAATACACAAAGAATAAGAGAGTTCCTGCTCCTTTACAGTTGTGGAAAGAGCCAAGTATTTCCCCAGTGCTGTTTATAAATCAGAACAAAGCAAAAAGAGAAACCCACTGAAACCCTCCCTTCAAGACTTGTAAAGAACCACAACCTACTCATTTATTTCCAGACACAATTCAAGAGGGCTGGAACTGACCTTTCAATGGCATGTGATCAAGGAGGTTCAGATTTCAACAAAAGCTGACCAAGCAACGACTTAGATACTCAGATGATGAGGATCTTTTTCTTAAGCCCCTCTCCCAAAAATTGCAGCCGTCCCTCCACATTTGTGATTTGACTTTGTAGGATTTGATTATTCATGGATTTGATTTAAAAATGTTCTCAATAATAATAATAATAATAATAATAATAATAATCTTTATTTATATTCTCCCCTAGGGGACTCAGAGTGGATTACAGCATTTACATACATAGGCAAACATTCAATGTTTTTACAATCATATACAATGGGGCAGACAAACACAAACAAAGGCAGAGGCTTCTCCTTTCATTTCCGACTTCTGGAGGCAGTACTCATCTCTGGCTCTGGGGAGGTGCATTTTTCTCCATTTTCAAGCCAGGGAGCCTGTGTTGTTACTTCCTGGTTGTATGGCCAGCAAGATTGCTTGGCGCGTCTTTTTGCTTTTTCCCGCCAAAGCAGTACCTATAAATCTACATGTTTTTTTAACTGCTAGGTTGACAGGAGCTGGAGCTTAGAGACAGGAGCTCACTCCATCTCATAGATTTGAACTGCCAACCTTCAGATCAGCAGTTCAGCCAATCTTCAGGTCAGCAGTTCAGCAGTACAAGGCTCCCTAAGAATCTAAGAACCTCAGTCTAGGTCCTTCGATGCAATTTCATGTTCAGCTTCCAAAGGAAATTAACCACAGAGTTATCCTGGAAGACCTAGAGAGACGTTCTTTTAGGTTAAAAAAATAGCAATTATCTCATTCATGTGCTTTTCTCCTCCCTTTGTTTTATTTTGTTTTATTTTCACTGTAGTTTTGTGCTCATAACTATAATGAATATGTAGAGCTGACTGTACTGTAATGGTGTTGGGCTTTTTAAATGTAACCTAGTTTAGAGTTGCAAAGTCAATCCAGTTCTGTGATCAGATCTTTCAGTGGTTTGTGGGTGCTTCCAGAGAGCCTCATAATCTGGGACAAATAAAAGGGACAAAAAATCGTGGTCCCTTACAGCAAGTCCAAATACAGAACTGTCAGTCCCAGTAAATCTTCCCCCACCATTCTGATACATACATTTCTTGTCATTTCTGTCCTCACCCTCCTGCTGCCTTACTGTTCCCCTCTTTAAACCCTTTTCTCTTTGGGGTCACTTCCCTGCCATGTTGGTGCCCACTGTGTACATGCAAACTATGTTTAATTTCATATGAGAACAAAAAATGGTCGCAGAGAGTCCTCATGGGAAGTGCTTTCCAATAGTGCTTTCATTTTGCCTCCTATGTGTCTGTGCAGCCATTTGTTTACAGCCCTCACCAGCTGTTTCGGAATTTTTAAATTCAGATATATGCTGCAGCAGTCCACGCCAGTGTATAGGAATGAAGTCATGTGTTTTCCTTGACTGCAGGGATTTATAGTCATGCAAATATGTTCATTTTTCGGCTGAAATTGGGTTTTAAGCACACCTTTTAACACGTTTTTCAGCTGTTAATGCAAATCTTCACGCATTTTCATTAACCATAATTTAGCCACGCACCCTTTTATCCCGATTTCTTCCGCATTTTTGTGTAAAAGAGCCCTTTGATTAATGGTTCTGGGACTGGGGTTTACAGATTATGACCAAAGTACTGCAAGGAACATGTCAAGGAACCCAAATAACAGTCTAATGCTCAAATTTCATATTAAATAATCTCAGCAGCATCCGTTAGGTTCAATGAAGCTAAGAAAACAAATGCTGGGGCAGAAGAATTATAATTGTAAAGTGTGAATGGACCTTAGTCACTGAAGCGCTTAATCTAGCCCCGCTACCAAGATCTGGTTCAGAAACATTATTAAATTGCCCTGGCCTTCCGAAAACAATTGGGTGATGACAAGAAGAGCCTTTTCATTCAGAGTGACTCACTATTCTAGCTCTCTCCTTTCTCTCTGCCCCCTTGACTATATTTTACTTTGAAATGGTACATGTTATATATTGCCAACCCATATTCTCAATTAAGATGGGCAGCGTGAGCCTGCCAAGGGAGGAGCAGCCCCACGGAGCCTACTCGTGCGTAAAGCACCTCGCGAGGTGCTTTACGTGCGAGTAGGTCACGCAGAGCAGCTGCCCTTGGCTGGCTCATGCTGCCCATCGGTTTATGGAGAGGACATAATGTCAAAACAGCATGTGACAAAATGAGTATGGAATATATTGTGAGACCATGAAGAAACTTCGCAGAGCCATCCAAAGCCAATATTATGGAATGCTGACAGTAGGAGTTTTCACAAAGCTCATGCAACTAAAGAGTTGTTGACTTCATTTGGTTGGTATGTTTTAAGTCAGCCCTTTCACAGACCCAATCTTACACCCAGTGACTATCATCTGTTCACTAAATTGAAAGGGCATCTTGGTGGAAAACACTTTTTGGGCGATGACAAGGTGAAAATCAAAGTGACAAAGTGGCTGAAAAAGATGGAGGGAAACTTCTATGGCACAGGCATCAAAAATTTGTCCCACGGATGACAAAATGTATTGAACTGAATCATGATTGTGTGGAAAAATGTAATACTTATGCTATAATCCATGTAAGTTTTTAAAATATATATTCACTCTTTGTATTTTAAAAAAATCTTGTAACCTTACTTTCCGGATAACCCTTGTAGAAAACAATAGGAAAAGAGGAAGACCACATGGATAGATTCTATCAAGAGAGAGAAATGGCACAGCAAAAATACATAATTGTGGTGGTAGTCAAAGAGTATGCAGAGGGGAAATAGTTGGTGATGGCTGCTGGTGGTAGCATCCATTCAAATAGGACAGTGGATTTTAGTTTGAGTTTGAGTTTGAACTTTCAAGCAATGATTAAAAGGAGCTATAGACAGCTCCTTCAAAATTTGTTTCAAAACTCCACAGGGATTTGCCACATCAACTGACATGGGAGCCACTACCTTGAACAGGAGATCTATAATCTCAATACAGGACATTAAAGTGATCAAAGGACTCCACAACCATCATCTCAATACTCTTTACAACCCTGTAGGGTAGTCCAATGTTATCCCCAAATTGATTCTTTGTAAAATGACAAGACAATAGGACTTCATCCAATTTGGGAATCACACCTTCTGGGCCAGATTGCTTCCCAAAACTAACTTTCTTCTGTTCTGATGTTCTCCAGATGGGTTGGACAACAACTCTAAACATCCTGAGCAGCATGGGATACACACTGATCTTTTGAATACAGATTGTGTTTTGGTTGTTCAGAACAATAACACTGTATGGCAGGCTGAACTCATGCCCAGGGTGTGGGCCAGTGAACACTGAACACGCCATTTATCCAGAAACAAAACACCAGGAACTGGCATTTCAAACTGACAGAAAGAATTTTGTTGTCAATGGTACATTATGTTGTGACCTTTGTAATGTGCACAATAGCACTGCACTTCATACCAACAAGGCTTGATATGCTTTCACAGGAAAAGAATGGACCATTTCAGTTCTGACAAGAATTATAGACATACGGGATGTCATTTAACTGGATTTTGGCAAAGTTGTTGGCAAGCGTCCCCCAAATATTTTGTCTAAATGTGCAGTAGATGGGAACGCTGTCAGATATATTAAAATGTATTAGAAAACCTTGTTCACAGAGTTATCATCAATAGAGATATACTTTAGACTGAAGGATCTCATTACTCTCCTTATCAAGTTTGATAATGATGCAAAACTGGGAGAGTACATTGGAAGATAGAAATAGAATCCAAAAGGACCTAAAGAAAGTAGAAAGTTCTCCAGAAATCAATAAAATGAAATTTAATAAAAGCCCCTGGTACCTGTCCCATGCAGATTTTCAAACATGAATACATAATAAGGTAAACACTGAGTTGCAATTGGTGAAGAATTTCAACAGGAATTTATGATCAGTGATAGGATTTGGAAACTTTAATATGCAGACTCTGAGAGCAACGCACATTTAACACAATTTCAAACAACAGAAAATGTGAATGCAACATTTAAAATCTGAGTACATCCTAATCCATCATATTCATTTTGTGTTCTGCATAAACCAACTGCTGCAGTTCTGTTACATCATGATAGACTCTGGTCAAGATGCTTTTTGTTTAACAATGGTATATTTGATCATGCGTGACAGGTAATTTAAGAAAAGTGAGCAAACTATTTTTCTGAAATAAGCTTAAAAGCAAAGATCTTGAGATAACTGCAAGTCCAGACGAAGTTTTACCGAAAGTCCTGGTCAGTTAACTAATGGGGAGGAATGCTTGAATTGTAGGCCAACAACAGTTGAAGGACCATATGATTTCCATATCTGCAAGTTTTGTTTGTTTATGAGCTGAAGATGAGCAGTTCAATACATTGCAAAACTGAGGGTATATCTATCTAAACCCTTTATCATAGTATCATATATTTGTTGGTGGGTGAGTTAGTTTTTTCTAAATTGAGATGACCCTAAGGCAATCTTAAATGAGGGTTTTCTTAGCAAGATTTGTTCAGAGGGA